ACATCGTTTTAGAGCCTCAGCCTCCGCCTTTCGGAATTCCACCACATCCAGCCCCGGATCGACGGATCCCGGACCTTCTTTCCCAGTCTCTTGAAACTGAGTTTTTCTTGCATGCTAGCCATGGCTGCAGGCCCCGGTCCAGGGTCACGGCATGGGAGGTTCAAAGCTGACAAGAAAAGAGTCTGAGGTCGGTAGATGGTGGGGGTTGGTGGATGCATCTATCACTGAAGCGGTAGCAAAGAATGCCACAAGAGTCACAAGAGGACAATAATTTGATGATAATAGGAACAAAACTTCGGAGGTGCAATGATACCTGTGTTTTTTTTTAATGTGCTGCTTCACATGATGTCAATGCTGTTCCATGTTGCACTGCCGAATTCTAGCGGTCTATGTACATACCTGGGCCCAGCGTGCGCAGCGACGGTTCAGACTCGGACGTCTTCACGTGGGTATGGCAATGTAGTATTAAATTAAACCAATTGATGCAGATTCAACAGTCCATTTTGGGGATCAATAATTGTTGACCCACACCCAGGTGAAAGCCCGCAAGGTTCCACACATGGCCCCTTGTAAGTTCCTTCCCCTTGCAATGAGGAAAATATGTGCCGCAATATCTCAAGCATGGTGGTTTCACTGGTCACCTATGCCAATCACCAGACAAGACTGCAAAGTCACAGTCACCCAAAAATCGGGCACCGTCCAATCTGCGAAAAAAACATGTAAAATCTACCAAAATAATCAAAAATACGTTTCTTGCAACTGGTTTGCCTGAGTTACTTGTCAAAAAAAATGTTCAGTCACTGCGTTTGTATCCGGAACCCGGCAACATTATCCTCCTTCACCATCAATGTAGCGACCTCGCGGGTGGTCGGAAATTGACTTCACAGTAAACCTCCGGAACCGAAATCGAAGACCGGAATAGAAACAACAAAAGGCGAATGGAACCACAATTTTCATTACATATATACCAGTAGTGCCTGGCACTACGCCGGGGGAAATTTCGAAAAATGGGCATGACTATAGGAAAAGGTTTGCTTATAAACTTATAGGAGTTGTGTGTGAGCTGGAAAAAATGACATGAAGCTTGCTACGCTCAGTGGGTCAATGAATCGATGAGTCAAGGAATGACGGAGTCACTGAACCACTGAATCAATGAACGCTGCAACCAATGAATCAATGAATGAAGAAATTGGGGCAATTTCATCTTCCCAGTTTTTTGCAGTTTCTCTGCAGGATCGAGCTCTCGCTACAATATCGTGTGTATGTTGCCAGTTTCATTGTCCACCAGGCTCCGATCCCCTCAGTTTTTGCAAGTTTTCAATGCAAAGCAAATGCTTTGAAATGCACCCGTCGCTCTCGTTGCAGTCTGGTGCACATTTTGCCGACCTCATCTTCCAAAAGTGTTTCGATCCCCTCAGTTTTTTGCGATTTTTATGTGAAATTGAGCTCTCGCTACAGTCTCGTGTACGTTTTGCCGACCTCATCTTCCAAAAGTACTCCGAACACTTCAGTTTTTACCGATTTTTGTGCGCAAATCGTGCTCTCGTCACAGTCCTGTACACATTTTGCCGACCTCATCTTCCAAAAGTGCTTCGAGTGGCAACGGAGCTTTCGCTACAGTCCTGTGCGCTCCTTTTCCAAAAATGCTCCGCGCCTGTCAGTTTTTGAACATTTTGAAGTGAAAATCGAGCTCTCGCTACAGTCCTGTGCATTTTTGTCGGCAACTTTCCCAGATCGACGCCTCCAACCCCAGAAACAGCGACTTCGGCGATCACGGAAGCCACTTTACCCAACAAAAACATGTTTCGCGCCCGAGAGTGTTTCCACCCGTGAATGCACGCGTTCCCGAACTGTCACTCTTCCCAACTCCTTGGTGATGGGTGGTTGATATGATGAGACATGAACATGATGAAAGACAGCCCCTGGACATTCGCCCGTAACTCGGAAGTTTTCGAACTAAATTTCCTTTGGCTAAACCTCCTTTGACATCCTTTGACCACGTGTTTATGTTTACACGAACCACAGGAACCGGAACAGAAATTGGAGTTGGAACCGCAGGGCGGTCCATGGCATGGCTGTGGAAGTGGAGGCGGCAACTTCTGCAGATTTTTTCTGAAGCGCAAAGAGAACCAGAGGAAACAAAAGGCCCAAAGAAAAACGATAAGAAATGAAAAAATGAGAGGGAATGAGAGGAAGGGAGAGGAACGAGAGGGGCTGAGGAAATAGGACAGGAAGACAGGAAGCAGGGAAAAAACCAGGTGTTGATTATGTTAGCCAAAGTTTTGCCGGGGTCCCCACCACAGGATGTGCTTGTGCCCAATGCCACACACATCATGTGCGAAGTCAATGGAAGCAAACGAACACAAAACCAATAAAGAAAAGGAAAATGAAAGTAAAACCGGAGCACCTGGATTTTCATCCTGACACACATGTTAATTACTTCGAATGGTGATGCCAGGTATTGTATCTCCAAAAGTAACTAAGGTCCAATGTTCTTGCCCTAGGCCCCACCAAGGTTGGCTTGGCTGAAAATGTCCAAGTTGTCTCCTGTGGCCCGGACGTAGCCGGCAAGGAAGAGAACCTGACCCACGTTTCATGAGGCAACTGAAATCCTACCATATCATGCAGACATCACATGCACGTCAGCCGCTGGCCCAAGTCGGCCTTCTGTCATGACAATTGTCGTCCCTCCAGAGGGAGAGAATGGAATAGAGATAGAAAGGGAGATGGGAAAAAAATGTACGCATGATTCCTCTGCCTATTCATTCACCCAGCCATCCATCCATTCACACAACCATTAATCCATCCACTTCTTCATGTCTTCATCTTCAAGCATTCATGTAATAACTCCTGTCAAAGTAGAACTATAGTCTATAACTACAACAATAAAACCTAAATCTAAAGCGAAATCTAAGTGTAAAGTCTACACCTAAATCTAAAGCTGAATCTATGTAAATCTAAATCATCTACTACTACTACTACTACTACTGTTGCTGCTGCTGCTGCTACTATTATTCTTACTACTTCTTGCTACTTCTTACTACTTCTTACTACTTCTTACTACTACTTACTGCTACTTACTACTACTTACTACTACTTATTACTACTTACTACTACTTACTACTACTTACTACTACTTCGTACTCCTTGCTACTGCTGCTGCTGCTGCGACGACGGCGACGACTACTACTACTGCTGCTGCTGCTACTACTACTGAGTAGGCCATGCCATGTCATCAAAAAGCAAAATCCCGCAGAAGCCCAGCCACCCACAACGTCGCAGCTGTGGCCGTCATGATCTTACCAAGGCAGCTCGTGGAGAGCTTCTGCGGCCTGGTTTTCTGCGCCGTTTTCCCGCCATTTGTGGTTGATTTATAGCATCCCCAAGATAGAATGTTCCCAATATGTTCCAGGTTTCCAACTGTTCTATCTATTTTGGGGCTTGCTATATCTAAATAATTAATGATATATATATATATATTATTATATATATATTATATATATATATTATATATACATATATATATTTGTAACCAAGGGTTTATCTAATCCGTACGTATGTCTAATCATTTGTCATCTAAATCACCCTACTATAATTTAATCACCTTTAATCTATGTAACCAAATTCATGTCAGCCGATGATATGGGTGCAGATCGATTGGGTTGGCTTGGTTCTGTTGATCCTGTGGTTTCCCTCTCCCAAACCAGCAGTTGATGACCGGTTGATGGCACAATCGGCACCTGCAACACCTTCCTTCACCAGCCAGAGGTCTCTCCACAGACCCAGCCAAGGCAACGGAATGGCAGTATGCCGCCTGAAACGTGAAACGACAAGAGCTGAGGGTGTGCCAGGGCGAGCCCTTTCGAAAAGGACAGCAAAAGAATTGAGCCAACAGAAAAAATGACCGCTTTTGGCGGCAGGTTTGATCCAAATTTATCCAGAATGATAATTTTGAAATGCACGAGAGTGATTAATAATCACTAATTTACCATAATTGACCCCAGAATCATCCAATGTTGTCCAAAATCATTGGGGTCAATGATTCTGAGTCAAAGCCGTCGTAGAAGCGCTGATTGGACTTCACGCGTGATGGACCGACGGTTGCAAGTGGCATCATTTCGTTTCGAAGGCACAGCAGGCAGAAGTTCATGCATGGCTGGATAAATGGCACGGAACATCATGGAACTCATATAGTAACCCCGAAAAAGTAAAAAGAACAAATCATCAAACACATTGCTTTCTTCTGATCCAACTGTGTTTGTCGGCCTAATTTTCTCATTTCCATCCTGACGTTGAACGTTTGACGTTGGACCGTTGGAGGACTCTCCAACCGCACTTTTACAGGGGGCTGATCCCCAGCATCAAAAAGGATGAGCAATTCTTTGAAAGAAACGTCCATCGGCCATCACAAAGATTTTTTCAGAACACCATTTCTCAGGGGTCGGAAAACCGAAAACACCACCAGAAATCCCCTCCTTCCCACCTCCAAATTCTCCTTGGCAAGGCTGATGGAATGCAGCACACAGGTCAGATGGTACAGCAGCACCAAAAAGATGGTCAGGAAAACCACCACTGGACCTGGCATGGATCATGGCCTATGGCCACCATGGCTACCTGGGCCATTCCGCGGTTGCTTCTCGTAGCTATCTCTTATGGTGTGCCAGTGACATTTTTTTTGGCTTGGAAGATGTTGTAATCCTCATATTTTACCAGCGATAACTAAGCCACTAGTGCCACTATTCTCGATAACTATAAGATATTATTGTTATATTATAGTTAGTCATTAATATTGTTATTATAGTTATTTTTCTATAATATCATCTTAATAAACTATTATTGTTATATTATAGTTATTCATTAATATATCTTATTGTTATATACCATATAGTTATATATAGCTTATTAATATATCTTATTGTTATCTCATTATATATTATCCATAGTATATGTATATATATATAGCTTATTGTTGTTTACTAATCCCTCCTTTCGTTCATATTCACCCAGAAAACATGGTGAGGGGATGAAACCGCCTGTGGACAACAAATTGTAGAGCCATCTCGACGATCCGGCTGCCACGAGCCTCCAGCCATCTCCAGCCCAACAGGGGAAAAAAACACCAACACCGGGGAAAAAACCGGAAAACCCATGGAAAACCCATGGAAAACCCATGGAAAACTGGCAGATCTTCATAGATCTTCACAAGAAACACCGAAGAAAAACCACATCTCTGGCCGCTCTGCGGTCTTGGGATCCGACTGTCCATCACCTGGGCATGTTGAAATATGCTTGCTATTTCTTTGTCCAACATGATGTTGATTAAAAAATTAAGAAAAAAACTTGTAAAAACACCAATGCTTTATTGTCCTTTATTGGTCCCCAAAAATTTGCTAGCAACATGTAACAATGTAGCAACTGGGACAACCCAAACATGCACGAACAAACTTGAGGTTTGCTACGGGCAAAACCCATAGTGAGCAGAAAATTGAACATGCGGGTTCCTGGGTATGTACACACCAGCACATACATATTATATACACATGTATATTTACATATATATTATATATATACATTATCTCTCGCTCTCTCTCTCTCTCTGTCGCATATAGATGCATATAGATATACCAATACCATCAGCAAAATAAGAAGTTAGCCTTGGACATTGGCCAAGCTGCCAAGTTCCCAGATGTCGCTGGCAACCCTTCCAACGAAGAGTAAGAATCTAAGTTCAGCGGTGCAGGAGACATAGGGATAAACCATGGGCTACGCTACTGGTTTCAAGCCTTGACGTGTCGGAAACATTCGGAAACCATTCTTGACCACCAGGTCACCAGCATTCCCAGTGGCAGTTGCTTAGGCAGCTCAAGCCTTACCGCCAAGGTGCAGTAGGAGCAAAAAAATGGCGTGTCTCAGGTGAAATGGCAAGTGGCAAACCTTTGCCGTCCACAACCTGCCATGGTTCGTCGAAAACCGGCTGGTAGCAAGTGGCACAGTTGCATTGAACATGCAGGGAATACCCCAACCGCAAATACGTACGGTTGAAAGGCTTCGTTTCCGAATGGTCGCATGGACTCGACAGCCGGTCACAGCCGGTTTTTGTTGATCTTCAACATTCAGTGAAACAAGATGAAACAAGCACATGCGCGCCTGAGAACCACTGTCAGCGCGCAAAGTGCACTGACTGATGTGTAGACCTGATGAGCAAATATTCAGCAGCTCAATTGATGCCGCTAGACCTCTGCACCATTGGCTCTAGTTCGAAATCACTTACCCCTTTCGAATGCATAGCCATGAAGCTATTGCCAGGGCCCTTCCGGAGCTTTCCATCAGCTCCCTGCTACAGGACGACATAGCTACATACTGGAGCCAGTCCGAGGCCAAGGTGAAGCTGAAGGTCTTTGCTGTGGCTGGATGTGGTTGGTTCAGCATGGCCATTTGCCATAGCTTGGAGATATGTTTTTTTGTTGGTAGCTATTTTTGAAAGAAAATTTGCCCCCGGGGTTTCACCATGTTTCACCATGGTTCACCATGTTTCACCATGTTTCACCATGTTTCACCTGTGGACTCTGACAGCTGTTTGGGCCTTCACGGTGCGGCGTGGCGTCCACAAATCAGTTGGAGCACGTGTTCGAACATGTCAACTCTCATGAGCCGAAGGAAGAATTTGATCACTTTTGGGTGAAGTGAAGTGTCCCAGTTTTGAAATCCTGCACATCCCCATCTGGCAGAGGCATCCTGTCACCCTACATGCAACACACACTTCCAACTCCCAGATCCATCATGGTGCTGATCAGCACGGCCAGGGCACCGACCCAACTTCCCAAGAGCCCAAGAGGTTTTGGCCAGCTGAGAAGCTGTGAATTGGGACATTTGAGACCTGGACACATGGGAGCGCAACGTCTGCAGCAGCTCCACGATGGAACAACCGGCTAGCCATTTCAAACGAATGCCCCCGGAAAGGAACTAAATAGAATAGTTGTTGGAACATCCATTTATAGAATATATATGATATATAATATATAATTAAATAAATAAATGGACCATATTTATGACTCATCACTTTAATTGCGATATCTTCATTCACATCGCATCGCTCATTTGACACCCAACATCAGCTGAGCCCAACTCATAGATGCTGCCGTCAAAGCATCCAAGAGGGGGATCGACCTCAGCAACTTTCGCTGTCTGAAGGGACCCGGCCCTCCCTTTGACAAATGGTTTCCTAAATGTGTCCCAAAATTCAGTGGATTGGTTTAAGGGGAAATATTGGAAAATCTGCAGGAAACCATGTCTTTTTCCATGAAAACTAGGGGTTCCTGTAAATCTACAGTACTTAAGCCAATCCATTGAAAAGGTAACAACCCCCCAAAAACAACCACGGACGTTCACAGATCCTAACATATCCTAATCATTTGCACCTGGTCCGGCCTGAGGCTGTGACTTCAGTGCTAATTTTGCTGAGCATCACGCGACCTCAGACGAAAGCAGGGAGACGTTGGTTCAATCCTGGTTGGTGTCAAACTGCATATCATACATATAATTTTATATACATATGTATATGTATATATATAATTTATTATCATTTTATCATATTTTACCTTTCCCACAAGACCTTGGCCTCTGCAAACACGCTGCACGCCATTTCTCGGAGGGTCTTGGAAAAGAAGGCCGGGATCAAAGGCCAGCGTCCCGTCTTGGGATTCTGGAGCTCCAAGGCCATATTCCAACAAGCAGCTTTGGCCGCTGGATTCAAACAGACAGCCTCCAACTCCTGCGCTCCAACCTCCTCAGCCCATTGCTCTGCACGCCGCAGCAACTGCCCGCAAACTCCCGCGTTTCGGGCCTCGGGCTGCACGGTGGCATGCCACAGGCTGGTCACCCGCCGGCGCCGCCGCCAGCAGCCGGAACGAAGACTTGTCCGGACACACAGCACACCCAGCAGTTCGCCTCTGGGGCTTTCTACCACGATGACCGCTGAGGGCTGGCCCTTGGAGCCCTTGGCTTTCCAACCGTGAGCAGTCAGCTCGCCATACCGCAGGTCGTAGGCCAAGATTAGTTTCGCCAGGATCCAGTGAAGAAAATGCTGCAGCACTGCCAGTAAGGCATACACCAAAGAAACTCTTAGCAACACAGTCTCCAGGCCTTTCCATTTGAGATAGAAGCCCAGCAATGTCGTTAACGCAGCTGCCCAGGCCGGGGGGCCCAAGAGAACAAAAGAACTGGTTTCGTAGACCATTTCCAGTAGATGATGATGTCCTGCCCACAATTCCCTCAGCTTTGGCCAGTCCGCCTCTTCAGCCAACCGCGATGAAGCTCCAGATGCAGGTCCAAGGCATCCTTCAGATGTCTGGACATCTCCGCACAGCGCAGCAGCCAAGTCTGTCAATGTTGACATCTGGGCATCCAAAGCACCTGGGGGGGCGGTCCAGTCCTTCGGCATCATCAAAACTTTATGGTCGTATCAAGCTGGTCCTATCTTTTTCATTTGGTGCGTGTCTCAATCATGTTAGGGTCGGCCAAGATCTAAGGTCAAACTTCTCTTGACCCACTGCCACCTGGAAGGCTGCCACCAAACAGCTCCGACAGTCGGCCCTTCAAAAACACCGCTGAGATCGAGTCCAAGCCCAACTGTCGTAGCCTCAGATCAATGACCAGGAAAAGTTGGGGATTGGAGTTCAGCAGCGTCCACGGATCGCAAAAAAGTGGCTTCAGCTTTTTTCAGCATCACTTTTGAGTTGAAACATGCAATCTCATCATCTCATCCATCCATCACCCAAAAAAGGAAAACTCAAGAACATTGACTGACACGACAAAATGGAAGACAATCCTGCTTCAGGTGGCGGCACATCATCTTGCAGGACCTCCGGCTCAGGTAAAGCCTCCAGCACCGCAGCCCGCAGCACATCAGGCGCATCAGGCACCATCGCATCCACTCGATCCACGGGAGCCCCAAGCAGCTCCTGCAGTGGCTGCTGCAACTTCGCCCTTCCAATGAGAAAGATGAAATCCTCCAGCAGCTGCTGCGCCCTGGGAGCCTCCAGGGTCACCACCTGGGAGCTGAGGTCCAAGTCCAAGCGCAGGGCCAGGTGCCTGGGAAGGGCCGATGGTGGCAGGGGATCGATCGTCACTTCGAGGCCGTGCCGCTGGAGTGCTCCAACGACCTCCTGCAGCTCTGGGAGAGGAGAGCGGAGCTTCACCAGAGCCAACGGCCTCAGTCTGCGCTATGCCAAACCTTAACGAAAAATGGGAACAAAATGGAACAAACAAAAAACATCAAAAAAACAAGCGAAACACCTGTTCGATGCAATGTGCATTCGCAGACATGCACTTTACCTGCAGGCCAGTTGCCAACGCCCTTCCTCCAAGCATCCAACTTCACCCCGAAGCGCCTCCTTCCGCGCCCGCTGGAGCTCTTCATGGACCATCTGCACAGCTTCTCCCAGCCGCTGCTTGGCCTGCAGCTCCACGGATAGTGACAGAAGGGCTGTGAAGCATCCCAAGGCACCCGAGTTTGGCAAGACACGCTGTGGGATGCCGATCACCAGCTTGCTGGCAAAGTTCCTTCTCAACCACACCTCGTCACGAGAACTGGAACCAAGGTACTGCAAGAGAATGGCTCCCCAAAAGGATGTTTAGCTGGGCATCATACTTGGAGGATCATCCCACGAAGCCTAAGTGACTAAGTGGTCTTCATAACCCTGGGACCCTGGCAAGTCCCCCAAAAAAGTGGAGTATCCCAGTATCCCATTTATAAATGGGTGAGTTATAACATATGGAGGTTTCCTAAAATGGTGGTACCCCTAAATCATCCATTGAAAAATGGGATTTTCATGGATTTTCCCTTTGAAAAACCATCCAGCTATTGGGTATCCTCCATTTATGGAAACCCCCATATGACTAAGCAGAGTTCCTAACCATGAGATCCAGCCACTGCCACCAGCGTCACTAGCACCTCCTGGGAACCCAGGGCCACAAGGCTGCCGGGATCCAAGTTGCCATGGGCCACCTGGATAGCGCCGAGCTTGAGATGGATGGAGATGATTGAGATGAAAAAAAATGTATACTGTATATACATAGCCATGAAAATGACACATATGTAATGACACCCGAAGATAGTGTTAAAATGTAAAGGTGTGTGTGTGTGTTTGCGTACTGTGTATGTGTCCCCAACGGACTTGGCCTTGCAACGGTTTGGGGGAATTACCATCTGTCCTGGCTGGAACTTGCACAGGTGACCTTCAAGGAATTTGATATCCTTTGGTGATAACGTAGTTGGGAGATACCAAACTGTTCGCAAATTATTAGAGTCGTCAACACATAAAAAACAAGGAAATTCCATTTGCATAGTTTTGCTGTGAATCCCCGACCAATAGATGGATCATCTCTGACCAAATCGGAGCTTTCTGGTCCACATAAACATCTAAGTGTTGATATTCATCCCATCTTCCTAACAATTACCACCTCAAAAAAAAACGAGTCTAGCATTGGACCTATTTCATCCGAATTCATCCGAGGTATCAGGGATTGATCCCATAGATCCTGGCCAATCGTGCCCCATCCCTGGGGTGTTCCGGTCCCCTGCGCCTCACATGGCCCCTGAGCCGCCTCGATCTCCGGCCGCGCCCGCCCCATCTGCCCGGAAGCCGGGCATGCCACGGCCAGGTCGGCACGGTCCAATGGGCCGACTGTCGGCCATTGGAAGTCCTGGCTGGTAAGAAACACTGGATGGTACCCATGGTTAAAACATGTTACAACCACTAGAAGTTGCGATATCAAATCTTAACCCCCTGTTTTTTTTAATACGACCGCGTGGCGGCGTGGCCGTTAAAATTGAGTGGAACTGCACTCACAAAACCTTGGTTTGGTCTTGGCTCTATTCATTCTTGCGGCCAATACGGGAAATTGAGATAAATGTCACAGGTTGGATAAACAGAATACATGTCTATCAAAAATGGGACCCCAAACAAAAAACAAATCAAACAAACCATCCAGGGCATTGTGAATCGGGGGTTGGCACTGAGGATGGGTGGATTTGTTCAAGATGTTCAAGTCATCACTGGGCAACTCGGTGTTTGGAAGACCATCTGTGTAGATCGTTGCAAGAGAAAAGGGCAGCTCTCAAGTCAAGGGGAACAATTTTCCAAGAGATTTGTGTATCATCTTGCATCCCCTTCACACTCATGCAGGTAGAGAATGTTCTCCCCTAACCGCTTTTGCATCAACGTGAAGGTTTCGAAATGTTCCAAGTGGTTGCCATCACACCGGTCATTCTCAGCACATCACGCAGCACCCCAAGCACCCAATTAAGACTCCTGGATGCCTAGTAGCATGGCCAACATTTGCAGCAGTTCCAGCAACAGCTGCTGGCAGGAGCTTTCATCCAGCACTGCAGGATGAGCTGCCACTGCTACCGCGGCCGCTGCATCCCTCCCATGTGTCCCACTGACGTGAAAGGCATGGAAGGGCTGCCGCTCGCAGCAGCGCCGGAGCACTTCCTCCAGGCTGTGGCACTCCTTGGATGGCAGGGCATAGTGCTCAAGTCAGCCCTGAGCTTCAAAATCATCCCGACAGCATCAAACCTACCCCCATTGTCAAACAAAAATTGTAGACTTCCACACGGAAAACTGGTCCAAAAATATAATAACAATAATAATAATAGTTTTTCCCCCATCATGAACACCCAATTCTATCAACCACAGTAGTCAACTTGAAATCTGTCACATCCCATCATCATCCCAGGCGTCCTGAATGCTTGGAGCTTTTCGCCTCACGGCCGCCATCTTCCCCTCGAAGGAGGTCCGACAGCTGCCATGGCGTTGAATCAGCTCAGCCAGGCAGTCGCGCATGGCCAAGGCTGGGCACTTTGCCTCGGATGGGAAGATGGTGCGTTTTTTTTCCGCTGGGTATGTGTCTGGTGAAGAAACTTTGAGAATCCACTGACCTGAAAAAGTTGGGCTATATAGGCTGAATATGGCTAAATGTTGGGATAGTTGTTCCTACTAGCCATCATTCCAGGGTTCGGTCGCAGTGAGATCGTTGTAATTTACCCAAATGTGTGGATTTGTATGGATGTGTATAGATTTGTGTGCACGTTTATAGAAATGTTTGGATTTTTGGTTGAAGATAGGATGGATGTGGATATGGATGGGATGATTGGAGGTAAGATTGGAGATGGCTGAAGACTTAGTGACTTAGTATGACTTAGTAACCTTAGTATAATTGGCTTGTTTGAGGTCGAAGAGATTGATGTGGAGGAGGATCACGTGGAATGCCCTTGACCTTTACCAAAACCACCAAGAAAAATAGCTGTTCTCATAAGAAATCCCAGTGGCAAATTCCACTCGAAGGATCCAGCCTTGATTGCCCGTATCTTCGAACAGGGCGCGTTCCTCGTAGCATGAGACGATACTGGGCGCGAGATCCCAAAGCCCGCGTGCTGCGGGCTCCACAAAAACCATGGCTCGTGAGGATTCCCATGGTCACACCCTCCATTCAATGCTAAGACCACCGAATCTTTTTTTACATATCTGGGCGAGAAAAAAGAACATCATTTATATATATATATATACCAATCATACTGATACATCTCTGGGCATGACATCATATATGACATCATATACATTCATAATCATTAATCATTCATATACATCATATGACATCATATACATCATATAGCACCAGGCATAAGGCAGGGTGCAGTTTGCGGCTCGAGCTGCAGCAGCTGCACCGATGGACTCGGTCGAATCGAAGAGGTATCAACTGGGATTATCAAACACCCCTCCATCCGCGTGATGCGCACAATGTCATATTGTCACATTCTAAAAAAGTCGATACATGCTGATACTAAATGATACTAAATCTGAGGGATTCCCCAATCCTACCAGGTCCTACCACACTTTCTTGTTGGCGCTTTTTTTTTGGACCTTTGCCCTACTCAAAGAACAGCCGGACATGTTTTGTCTAAACGTGATGCCTCTCAAGGACCCACGCTGGAGCATCATCCTCAGCCACGCATCTTTTGACACGAGAATTGCCAATTTTTTGGATCCCGACATCGGACAGCTGCTGGAATGTGTAGAAAATCACCTGCCATTTCACGCGTTCCAATTGGTAGAACATTGCATCTATGGCATCTACAGTATGGCATCTATGGCATCTATGGCATCTCTTCTCACATGGCAAAAAAGAACGGAAGCCACAGCTGTCCTTATGACGTCAAGCTATTCCCGTTGATGACGTTGGCCAGAGGCAGTTGATGGCAGCGTGGAGCTGCTATGAGACCCAGAAAATCCAAACCACTCTGTCTACCCCCGGAAAATGATGGGTGTCGTCACATAACATCATTGTCATCACTACTTGTCAGGTTTTTTTAAGTAAGGCCAGTGGTGCATTATGAAAATTTAAACTGCACGGAGCTATTTGACTTTGAAACGATTCACTTCCAACGTTGGTGCTCCGCAGTCATCAACGGCCTTTGGCTCTCGCACTGCTCTTGAGAGGTGCGTCACGCGTACATTTTCACGCGCGGTGCGTTTCTGCGGCAGACTTGGGTGCCAGGGCTTTGATCTGAGGGTTCTCTTGGAGGATCATCCTGTCTACAAAGTGGCTAAACATCATTGTATATCATTGTCAATAAGTCTCTAACTGGGTAATCCCATTTCTAACGAGAACCACCTGCTGTAGCCACTTACTAATTGGAGGATCCTCCACATATCTGCCCACGGATGTTGAGAGAGCCACAGTGAACTGTTCACGACGGCGCTAACTAGCAAAGCTCTTTATATAATATGCACAGTTTTTGCATGTTCAAGTGTTCTATGATCGAATCCTAGTCTATGTCTCTGTTTAAGCTGCAATAATGCACTGACCTGAAACAAGGCAATTTTGGGATAGTTACCCCTCCTACTAACCATCATTCCAAATGATTGAAGAGTCGTGAACTTCACAAATAGGGGCATTCATTCTGCAATTATCTAGTTTTATGCACAGACTGTCTCATCGATGAAAAGTCTGCATTGCTTCTGGCCCTGGGCATCCGACATTCAAACACTGCAAGCAGACTCTCATCAACTGGGCTGGCGACCAAGTGTTTTGGGACTGGGATTATCATACCAGACTTGCCTATATAAACCAAAAGACTCTCCCCTTAAAGAGATATATACTCTCCGGTAATCAACCATGGCCATGGAAAATGTCACATTTATAAATGATCATCCCATTCAAACCTCCATTTATGGAAAACTTCCCAGCCATGTTCAAACCGGAGGGTCGCAGCCTCGTCCCCGGTCACCCTGTGAAACTGCCCGGTGATCTGCGGAAAGTTATTGGTCGACCGAAGCGTCGCGCTGCCACAGCTGAACCGTGCCATTTTCCGCTCCAAGCACGTAGATGCCGTCGTGCCCTGCGGTACACAAGGTTTGCACCTCAGCTGGCTGGAAGATGCCAGCCATGTGGTTGATGTTCCCATTGAAATGATCCGATGATGATTTGGGGATGGGTCAAAACCCTATCCCCCTGTAGTTCACATCAAAATAGCTGGGATTCATGGATGTTCATCCCCCTAAAAATGGTATGTATAGGTATTGATCCATAGCCATTTGAGGCTACCCCCAGGATTGACCAATTGTCAAAACATGTCACTGACCATGCAGAATTGATCACCTCGCCCTCCCCACAGCGTGCCGTTGCCTTACATCTTTCGAGGGCTTGCCAGTGCTTCTTCAGCACAAAGCTTGGCAAAGTGATGGAGCTGATCTGCCCCTTCCTCAGTGTCAAACGCTTTGGCCAAAGGTCTGAACAAATCTTAAGTAGCTGGTGAAAGCCAATCAAATCTACAGAAATCTACTACATCGTGGTCGATTTGAACGGAAACTGAGGATAAGTCAAGGACTGGGCTGAGACTTGCGCCCTGAGATTCTATGTTCATGTCCAGTCATATATTTGGCTCCAACCATCCGTCGTTCAGGGCGATGTTGATAGATCACTAGATATTTGCCTTTCCTAACCTTTTCTTGGATAGTATACCCACATGGCAAATGAGAATAATGAGAGCCTCAAGAAAATGAACAACAACAAAGTCAACACGGCAGGCCATTTTGCTTCGTCACATTGGACTTTCTCGGAACTGGCGCATGCGGCCGCTGAGCGGCCATAGCAAGGTCAGGGGGTTGCGCCTGAGACAGCGATGCATAGTAATGCAATTGGTGAAACCCATCCAGGCCCAAGGCTGGCCCAGGAACGTGCATGGCTCCCACCAAGGCTTGGATTTTCGGAAGTGGTTGGTGGTTCACTCCATTTCACTCCATTTCACTCCACCAGTCAGATCATTCAAGGGTGCAGCTTGACATGATCTGCCCCTAAGGGGGGATGAAAATGATTCAGAACAACGGCCAGCCTAACTTTTCACCTTGGTGGGGTTTAATTAGAGGCCATTTCGTTCAAATGACCCACCCTAGCGTGCGCTTCTCTCAGTGCAAAATGTCGATAAGGCATCAGGAAGCCTCACATGCCCTCAGCCTTAGGGGGCTAGCCACCTGTTTCAATGGCAGCTTGTTTTCCAATTTACCGCACCACTCACTCTGCTGAGACCTCTTCACTGGGCCCCTGTTTGCTGACAATCAGTTGGTGTACTTTGGGACGAGCAGATTCCAACAGCGACAACTGGAAGAGAAGAAGGACCACGACGAAGCCGCCACTTCCAAGCAAACCTGGCCAGCTCGCTACCCGGAACCCTGAAGCAAAAATAGAAACTGAACAAAAAATAATAAGTCACTAAGGGGTCATAACCGGTTTGAACTACCATGAACTACCCTTCTATGACTCGGGATGGAAACGAGAAATCTCTCGCCCAGCAACAGTACACCGGCAGGTTGGACTCCGGATCTTCCAAGTAAACTGTGAACACTCCACATGCCATTGTGAGGAAGGTGAAGAGCTTTAAGTCCTGGTTGGAAGAGCAGGTCAAAGGGCTTTTTTAGGGGATACATTGGATACATGGGGATACCCTGGAGCCAAACCCCGTAACATCTGGGGCCCCAGATGCGAAGCCGCTGCCTGTCCTGAACCAGAATGGTCATCTTCTTCTCCACGTAAGCCGGGTGGATCATGGCATTTACCTGGCGCAAGGGCTGATCTCTGGTGATGGTTTGCATGGCAAAGGTTGCTGGTTTTCTTGCTGCCAGGTCACCCACATCACCAAGCCAATGAGCATCACGCCAATCATTTCACACAAGGGCGTAGGGGCCAACAGGATCGTCACCACCGGCAGAAGGATCTTGGCCAAGAGCTCAAGGATGTTGGTTCGGAAGACCTCCCTGGGGTTTGGGTGAAGAAAGGCCAAGTGCAAATCCGTGGCAGAGCGTTCGGCCGCCTTCCACCAGGTGTTCTTATCCTCCCACACCTTCCAGTCAAACAAAATGCTGGACGGCACATAGTGAGCATCCCCTGCACACACGGCGTATGGAACCAAGACATAGAGGTAGATGGGCAGAACAATGGCGATCGCCAACAGGAGGATGGTGTGGTTCCCTCGGAAGCACATCACATCAGTCGCCGAAGCTAGTACGATCTTGCCGCTGGGGTTGCCAATCAAAGCGTCCTAAGCTTCGAGACAGAACTCCCCAGCTGAATATATGGATTGTTGACTCAAAGAATCCCACCGGGTTTACGTGGAAACATTAAGTGGCCCTTTGAATCATCCGTATGGAAAATTTATGTACCCTCTGGTAAACAAACATAGCTATTGAAAATCACCATAGAAATAGTGGATTTCCCAATTAAAAATGGTGATTTTCCATAGCTATGTTAGTTTACCCGAGGGTAAATTGTATGAGCACCTTGTGGTCATCCCCGAAATGACCTCAGCAAGTCTCTGTCCATGGAACATCTTCTGGGAAGACACAACGCACGGACTCTGCCATGGATTGGACAATCGGCACCACCAGGGCGGTTGAGAGCAACTGCATCAACAAATAGGTCATTGCCGAAAAGGTCTTCGCCAGCTTCCTGAATTCTGAAGATGGCACCAAAAAGGTTGAAGATGGGGGGCGGGGGTGTACCTTTGAGTCGGGTCTTCCGATAGATTTCTATAAGGGACGCGCACGTACGCACGTGCGGGAAAACAAGGGCCTTTACAGTTGTGAATCTATGAACTTATATTGTCCAAAAAAGAGATGATCCCATCTACAAATGGATAAACTAACCGTAACTAAGCGTGAGTCCATGAGCAATAACCACAGACCAACGGGGATGCACATCCAGTGACAGCTGGGGGCATCTAGGCACCAAATCCGCCCATGGCTGGTCCCTCCGATGCCCCCAAAATCAATTCAATCATCGAATCATTTTGATAGTTTCCATGTGCGTGTTCAAAAGGTGGTGCCCTCTACTTAGTTAAGTTGTTTTATAAGTAGGTTTACTAAGGGTTTATGCTAAATATATCGTGATATGCGTGCGTGTGTGTGTACATAATCATATGGACATACATACACTACATATATATATATATTATATATATATTATATATATTATATGTGTGTGTGTGTATGTGTGTGTGATGTATTATATGTAGATAATAAAGATGATAAAGATGATAATTATAGATGATATAGATGATATAGATGATATAGATGATATTGATGATATTGGTGATATTGATGATATTGATGATATATATAGATAGATAGATAGATAGATAGATAGATAGATAGATAGATAGATAGATAGATGATATAGATTATATAGATGATATAGATGATATAGATGATATAAATGATATAGATGATATAGATGATATAGATGAGTATAGATGATATAGATGATGATGGTGGTGATGATGATGATGATGGGTGATATAGATGATGAAGACGAAGATGAAAATGAAAATAAAGACGAAGACGAAGACGATGGATGACGATGACGATGACGGTGACGGTGACGGTGATGCTGATGATGATGATGATGATGATGATGACGATGACGATGACGGTGACGGTGATGCTGATGATGATGATGATGATGATGATGACGATGACGATGACGAGGAGGAGGAGGAGGAGGAGGACGACGACGACGACGGCATATTTGATATAGCGATCTCTCTACATCTCTGTGGCTATAGATCAAACATAGAGAACCCGCAACCAAAATTGTTCTCTACTTCCGAGCTGCAGAGCGAAATGCGCACATCCTGGGGTACCTTCCATCTCATCGCGGAACTGCTTGGAATTCTGAATAGATCGGCAGTAGCCATCAGCCACCGAGGGCAAGCCCGCAAAGGCGCTGAACAAAAACATCACCTGGGATCGATGTTGAAACGTCAGCTGGGATCCTCCCAGCTAATCACCCCTAGAGTTGAAAATAAACTCAAAAAGATATGGCTGAATCCGCTTACAGCCACGATTAAGGTCAACACCGCGATCATTTCCGGCCAAAAGATCATAGCCTTGTCAATGGTCACCTGCCATGCCAAACGGGGGGAAGACATCCGTAGTCACTTTTCATGAGTTCAAAGTTCCAGAAAACATCTGAGCCATCAAAAATACCGTTGTTGGCTGATTGTTGTCCTTTCTGCATTCTTCATGGCTCATATGCATTCCAAGTTCAAGACTTCAAGTTCGGAAATCCACCAGTCAGAAGTTCCATCAAACATTATCGCAGAATGAACGAGGAGGCGGTTCGCGGCTTTGCCACACGTTCAGCTGGCCCAGCTGGATAAGCTAAATACATCAATGAGTTTTTGCTTTTACTGATGTAACGTATGCAAATCTATATCTATTAAACACTATTAAGTTATGTATATGTATATATATGTGTGTGTGTGATTACATGTATATATTTATGTGTGTGTGTAGAACGTTACTACTAGAATTATACAAGCTATAAAGCTAAACATTCTATATATAATATTCTATATTCTATGTATATATATATATATTTAATTCATCCGATATCAACTGATCTGTACATCAGATCATGTCCACGGCTCGATGGGGCGCCAAGTCGCAGTGAACTTGAAGTCCAACATCATGACCTGCTGAGAACCACCAGCCGACGGCCGACATGCTGAGTTTCGAAAAGGAGCTCTCTGTCAAATCATAATGCTGCGAACGTTCAATGGTAAAAGGCATTTTGAAATATTTTGAATACATAGCAACCCCAAGAAGATAGATTGAAAGCGTACGTTCCCATGAATTCTCATTATTCTAATAGGATCTTGCTTCTCCTCACTCCTAAAAAAAGGAGTGTTCTCTCTCCATGCCATCGCCTGATGTGTCACCACGGCCGGCTGCTTCACCGTTTTCTTCCAGGGAATCGCGGGGCCGAAGGCGAAGGAGACCATCTGCAGAGCTGAGACGATCAGCAGAAAGGGAGGCAGGAAGACCTCGGAGGCGAAGTTTTTGTTGCGGGGCATCCAGAAAAGCATCCCCATGATGACTAACATAGCCATGGAAAATCCCTTATAAATGGAGGTTCTAATGGGAAAATCATCTATAAATGGGCAATTTTCCACAAATCCATGGATTTACCCTCCAGTAAATTAACAGTTGGACCCTGCCAGCAAACGGGATTGGAAGACTAGTGAAACCACTATAAATTGGTCATTTTCAGGGTCAACAAGTTAATTTACCAGAAGGTAACTATCCTTGAAAAATGTTGAAAAGCAGACCATCTTGGGATGTCTTCTTGACTTGTCCTTGGTGAAGTTCAACAGCACCTGTTGATGCATTTTTGCCAGTTGGCTGACTTCAGGGAACACCTCTAGTAGTCAAGGCTGGCGGGTCCCACGGCATGGGTCGAAACCGAAGACGAAGAAATGTGCCGATTACCCAATGACCGAAATTGTTGTTACTTGCTGACCATATGCATGCAGTCTCCCAAGGCAAGCGGAAGACTACATCTCATCAAAACAGTGGGAACAACATGGAACAAACCAATATTTTGTCTGCAGGACTTATACAGTGCAGTCTCTGCATTTCAATGCGTTTCCAATGCGTTTCGCACAGCCGTTGTTCAAGGCATGGAACCTCCATGGGGCTGAGCGAGCGCATTTCAGCATAGATTTGGCCCTTGTCATGGCCTCCCAAATCCCATGCGTAAACTGCGCCATCATCACATCCCACGACGACAGCAGGACCTTCCGAATCTTCAACCACCTGGGGCAGCTATGGGATTCAGTGCCACCTGGCTGGTGATTGACCTAAAAAAAGTGGTTACTTGGGATCAATCATTGCGTCTTTTTTTGGACGGAACCTTTATCATCTCTGAATCAGTGCATTCCTACAGCTTTATTTGTATGTGCGCTGGCGGTTATAAGTTCCAGTGCTACATGCAAACGATTCTGAAATCAAAAGGCCCCTGCCATGTGCCTGGGTATCAATGACCTTGGACTTGTGCGTCATGATCAGCTCCACCCTCTCGCGCCCGGGCATGATGAGCAAATTTGCGGGATCCTCCGGGTTGCAACGTGAGCCCCTGAAATGGCCTAAAACAATAGGAAGGGAATGACCCTCGGATTTCTACATGCTCACAGAGAGATAGAGAGAGAGAGAGAGCGCGAGTGCGCGCGCGAGAGCGAGAGCGAGAGCGCTATAGTCTATTCTAATCTCCGGCCGCCGGCCACGGGCCACCGGCGCTATAGTGAGAGAGAGAGAGAGAGCGAGTGCGCGCGCGAGAGCGAGAGCGAGAGCGCTATAGTCTATTCTAATCTCCGGCCGCCGGCCACGGGCCACCGGCACTATAGTGAGAGAGAGAGAGCAATTTTCAGATATCTAAAATTATCTAAAGACCTTATCAGACTCACATTCGTGATCTGTCCTGAGGCATCACCAACATGCTGTGCTTGGGTGCCGCCTCAATGTTCCACATGGCCAGATCAAAATCCTGCCGCACATCTGTGACGAAGGCCGTTCCCTCGATCTGCTTGTCGATGTCCATCAGCAAGCCCGGCTGCTCGTAGATGGTCAGCGGCTTCGCATACGTCAAGCCCTTGGAGCTGAAGAAGTGGAACTCACCATCCGCGGCTTCAAATTTGCTGGGTTCATCGTACTTGATCCTGACACTGGACTTTGATAGAAATGCCACATCTGTTTATCAAGTGGAAAAAAGATGAAAAGTTTGGACTACGGCGCAGTCGTGGAAAACAAGAGAAGGCACAAAACAGAAACACACGAAGAAAAAGCCAAGAGGGTGTGCTTTGAAGGCCATCTGGCGTGTGTCAAGATCAACCAGATTTCTGAGCCAGCCAATGTCACAATGTCCTTGTGCTTCCATCTTCTTCATCTTCTTCAATCTTTCCAACCAGACCATTTTTGTCGATGGTCCACACGGCCACATACTTCTCCTCGCCTGCATCGGTGGAGGCGAAGATCACGGAGCCGTTCTTCTTCCAGGCCGCACTGACACCCAGGAGCTCTCCTCACATCAGCGGCACGAGGAAGAAACATCGCCCCCATGGGAACTTCATAGGGCCATAGGGGAGAGCCAGCCACCTTTCATGTTGCAAATCTGAAGTAAATATTGATAGATAGGATAGGATAGCTTAGATTAGGTTAGAGTAGGGTAGAGTAGAGTAGATTCGATTCGATTTGATTAGATTAGATTATATAGGTAAGATAAGATTAGATTAGATAAAATAAGATTAGATTATTGAGATTAGATTAGATTTGATTAGATTAGATTAGATAGTCCATGATAGTCCATGATGGTCCATGATAGTCCTAATTTTAGAAGAGTGTAAAATCGGAAATGATCACTGGCACATGGATGGAAACCTGATGTTGAGCTGATGATATTACTATTATTGAATATTGAAACTATTTTTTCATTGAACCCTTCAAATAATATGTCACACTTCATGCCAATCCCCTGTCCTGATTTCTTCCCTTCTTTCTTTTGTTTGGGTTCGTACTCTCCCAGCAGCTTGTTGAAGGCTACATGGTTGTACACCGGCAGATCCATGGACATCTGCATCAACAGCTTGCCATCTGCCGACCACAACCACACTCCACGAGCCTCTGATTCTTGCGTAGCGGTCACCCACCTGACCTGGCAGGACACGGTCAATCTCAAGAATTGGAGAAGGGTTGAGAAGCCTTCTAAACCAAATGGCTGACTATGGCTCCACCACTAAAACAAGCATCGCCCACCAGGGTCCACATGGTCCACATGGTCCACCGGCCTTCTTATCGCCATAGTCCCCCACGAAGCGGCAGCAGTCCACCGAGGATTTGTGCTCCAAGGTGTACTTCACCTCCATGGGTTGCAACAACGCCAAGACCTGAGCCAGACAGTCTGGCAATTTTGGTGCCAGAGAGTCACCTTTTTTGGGTGTAAAAAAGGTGACCCCAAAAAAAAGGCCCAAAAGATTCAACGAGAACATGAAGTTGACTAGGCAAAGGAAGGCAGACATACTGGTCTTCCACTTCCGATTCCTCATCATCCATGTCCATGTCCTCCATATCCATATCCTCTTCACCAAGCATGGCCGCTTCCATGTCGGCTTCTTCTGTGACGTTTTCTTTGTTGGGTTCTTCTTTTTTCTTCTTGACCGCGCGGGGGATACCAGCTCCTTTGAAGAAGAAGTGAGCCACTGCCTCAATGCCTTGTGGGGGATCATGAGGTGGTTCATACGTGGGATTCGACAGTTCCGTGCATTCAATGCTGATGATCTTCACATTGCCGTCATCACCGCTGGTGGCAATGTGGAAGGTGTTCCCATTCCTGAGTGGCGACAAGGGGCCAAAAAAATGCGATGTGGTGGGTCAGAAGGGGGCAGGTGAAACGTGACTAACGGGGGCCACAGCACAACCACAATCAACGAGAACAATCAACCGCACCAACCAATCAACCAAGGTTTAGTTATTGACTTAATTGGTAGGTATAGTACGTCCCGTCAATACAGAAGATATTCGGGAAAACATCGGAGATCCAATCTTCTTTTTGAAACAGGTTTGGAAATGCTGTCCCCCCATTTAAAAAGAAGACAAAAATTATTCAGAGACACGACATGGGAGAACATCTATATAGTTTGTCTTCGTTTTGCACTTGCAATATCTTCTGTTTGAAATGGTTTTGGCCGCACCCCAAAATTTGCATCATCAATTCAAATGATAATATCTTCTATCTTATCGGGGAAAAGTATATGAGTGCTTTGGTTTGGTGGCTTGCAATCCTATCTTTCCCTTTTGACATAATTTATGGTACGCAAAATGATGTGTATATATATATATGTGTGTGTGTGTGCGTTCATATTTAACAATATTTATATATTGTAGAAAGGGATATCTACAAATCTAGGGCATTTTTTGCGGCCCTCCGTCAAGGGGGATATGATTACCACCCAAGCAGGGCCGGGATTCCAAGACCCCAGGCCCCAGCCAAGTTTCTCCTCGTTACGGTACAGGGCTCCGACGGCAAGGTCATGGATGGGCCCTTTGTGGAGCCCCAGAATCCTCTGGTAGGAACTCTTTACCTCCGCCCCGCCCTCATCATCTTGGAAGTAAAGATTGTGCAAGTAGAAGTCTCCATGGGCATTACCTGGCCCAATATGGCCCAATCACCATTATGAGGCAAGGATATGTTTTAATGGGACATGGCATGCATGCCAAGACATCAAATGTATGCCTCGAAGTGATCCCCAAAAATGACCAGTCCTGAACCGCAACAGATTTCAACCATGACATCTCCCACCCTCCGAAGTTTCAGTAGAAGTCATCTTGAAAAAAAGTTCTGGGGCACCCGGGGTTTGACCCCATCCCCTGCAAAATCAACAACTATGTCCCAGAACTTGCTTAAGGAAATCTATGGTTAAAAATTATTATTAATATTGTTATTATTCGCAGTATTATTATCATTTTATGTATATATATATATATGCAGGTAAAAAAACACACAATTTCCGGTGCAGATCTTTCTTTAAAAGAAGAATTTGTGAAACTAATCCATAGATTTCTAGATGTTTGTTCCTTGGAACAGCCCAGACTAAGCAAAGTGGTGAGGATGCCACTGGCGATCGGTCCGTTTCGCATCTTCTCAGACTTGTTGAAGGCCAAGTCCTGAGTGGTTCCGAAACGAGAGCTAACGGGTGCCACGGCCGTCACCCCAACGGGGTCCAGCTTGTCATAGTCCACCTCCTTTTTACCTTGGTCCAAGGACTTGTTGGGAAATATATGGACATATCATGACATATCACATAGTGGATGTGTATGGTGGTATCTCAAGAGTTTACTTGTGGTAAAGGAACCTAATTCCAAAAGGCGAATCTAAGTGTGGCTATGACCCTAAACCCAGTTACCGAAGGCCATCTCCCACACTTTTCCGCACATGCCCTTCTCTTCCACTGGGCTGGGCGGAGGCGTTTGCACCAGGATGGCAAAGAGGTCATAGGCCGCGTGATGAACATCATACTTCCAAATCCTCCCGGTGTTCTTGCATCAAAATGATCCTACAAAATCCTACCTATTGGAAAGTGCAGGAGATACTGAGGAGTCAAATTTAAATCCGAAGCCAAACGGCTCCAAACGTGGCCCAAGAAATGCCATGACGCCCCCCCGCTTTGTTGTCCGCGGGTCCCATCCTCACTGTGTAGTCCACCCCGCCGCTGACGACAAAGTCCGCAGCGGCTGAGGCATCGACACAGGTGACCCGCCCGTCATGGCCACGGGAGAAGAAATGCCGCAAGAGGTCCATCATGCTTTCGCTTCCGGTTGCGGTATAGGCCACCTGCCAGGATGCCACAGGATGCCATAAATGTCGTGGTAAAAGTATGTAAAGGTCCTCCCAATTCACTGGGCTACAATGAGTAAAGAGTACACTTCATGTGTTCAACATATCCACTGATGGTGCCTACTGACAACTGGGTTGCAGGCGCCGTGCCTGCTTTGCTTCCATCTCCCCATTCTCAAGCAGACTCTCACGTGCTTGGCCATCCTCTTCTCCCATCGCTTAGATCTCAAAGAGTTGGGACCCGGCCGCTGAGGCGCTCGCACAAGGCAGACTTTGAACACTTGAAATTGGCTTCAGTACCACTAATTTTTTAATGACAAGCAGCAGGATGGCTGGTCAGAGATTGGCCTGAAGTACTCAACCGAAAGTTCTAGGATATACCAGACATACCCTCCGGTAAATCGAACATAGCTATGGGAAATGGCATGCTTATCATGTTTGTAGATGACTTATATACCTGCTAAAAATTGGATTTTCGATGAATGTTAGATCACCAGAGGGCAAGAGCCATGGTACAACCCCTGTCAGTTGTCACCGCAGGATTTGCAACACCAAGTTTCGCATGGCCGCAGAGCACCCGGGGCCCAGATTCCAAACCTGCCTGAGTTGATAGAGCAACACTTCCAAGGCGGCAAGATCGGTAAAATGCAAAGCTTCAGCAACCCCCAAAATCCCCCAAGTGATATTTATATTAACTATGTATGTGCATATAATATATATATATATACCTAAATATGTTAAAAAATATATATATATATTTATATTTATATTTATTTATTTATTTATATTTATATTTATATTTATATATATATACATATACATAATTGTTTATATCTGTGTCCTTCAGGCGCCCAGATGCGATGCAAAGCACAGGACCTGCTGGAAGAGCTGGCTGCTGATGCTTTAAGGCACCTAGGCCATCGAAAATGCAGATGCTGCCATCAGCATAGACCACAATCCTTGGATCGGCGCTGAGGGTTGGATGGAACTGGGTCTCCAGTTCTACTGAACAGAGATGGAACTGGTTGAGACTGGTTGAGAAGTTCAAGAAATGTATCTTGCTTGCCATGTGTGCCAGGGAGCATGTGGCCGTCGAACTGCAGCAAACCTTCAGCATTGACATGGTCATGAGACATCGTGAGACATGACATGGCCTGAGCCCATGCCAACTTTGCAAAACTAAAATAATAGGAGCTATTTGAACACAACAGTCCATGATGTATGTGAAGCCCAGATTGCTAAACCCTGAATGATGAATTCCGGAGGCAAAACCCAACCAATGAGAGATTGCTGGTAGCATAGGATTGAACCCTACCAAACGCAACCCGCTTGCATCCCAGCTTCGGGAAGCTTCGCACCATTGGAATTACACCAGAATTTTTAAGAACCTTCACCCAAAAAAAGGGATTTGCTTGGGTTTTGTTTCCATGGTCTTACGTTTGGTTTAGATGGTTTTGACGCTTAAAAGTTTCCATTTTCGCGTGTGGTGGGGTGCCCTCCATCAAAACAAACCTAGAACAGAAAATCCTACCTTCTTTCCCATTGTAGTCCCTTCCCCCCAATATTAAACACTCCCCAGAAGCCATGGTTTAGTGGGGGATTTAGACATCTTTGGGACCATTTGACTCATGCAGTTTAGGGGGTGTTTGACACTAGAGGGTTGGGATTAACAATGGTAATAACCTCCATAAATTGGGATATAAACCCCATAACTGTGGTTGAGTTATATCTATATCTACCACTTAGAACTTATCCACTGACCCTCTGCAAAACAGCTCCATGGCTGGAAAATCCACAATTTTTTGCGGATTTTTCGCAGCTCTAAAGCTCCATCGCAGCAGGTTTCGGCCTGCCACGAACTTTCGAGGATCCAGCTGCTTGACCACTTTCAGCGTGGCCAGCTCAACCTCGTGGCCGGAAACAGGTGGGTTCAAAGGGGTTTCATGGGTATATGGTATAGAATGGCTATATAATGGGATAATGGGATGCTAATCACTGGACTAATGTCAAAACCAAATCAGATTTATTTGGGTTCTTTCCCCAAAAAAGTGATGATTTGCCACTGAAGTGGTACACCCCAATTAAACAGCCTGGGTTCCTAATCCAGGACATTCTAGAATACCCACAAAGTGTGGATTGTGTTATTTAGATTTTGCCAACAAACATGAGGGGTTTACCAGAATTTATCCAACAAACAATACAACATTAACCAACACAAAATGCGATCTCTACACGCAACTCAATTTGAAGTAATTAAGCGGCTTAAATTGCGATGTAACCAACCAGAGTCAGAATCAAAAATACACAACGAGTATCCAGTCGGAATCCCAAAGTTCAAAACTGTTCCAGATCGACCATCAGCATCCACCTTGTATTTTGTTGGACCCTGCTTTGCTCTGATTGCCATGTTCGTTTGCGAAATCTGGTTTATCCTGGGAACAAAAATGTGGAAAATAGTGATCGCTTGCAATTGAAATGGTACCCCGCAATTAGACAGCTTGGGGTGGCCTTGTCTTTGGCCCTACAGCTGGCACCAATCAACCAACGGTCAACCATGTTTATTTCAGAGCCGAACATATCGAAATTCAATTCATCCCCTGGCCCTCAACAACTTGTTCATTCAGCAGTTGATGGGAATCATAAAACTTAAAAAAAAAAAACGTTCTTGGTTGGCAGTTGCGAGCCTGTACCCATTAGTTTACCCGCTCCGAGAATTGATTCAGAGGAAATGTGGAAAGTCCATCGCTTCTTGTCGGATTTCCCCGAGCCCTAAACCAAGCCACTGATCATCGGTTGAATCAAATTCCTCCAAATGGTGTGGTCCAAAATGGCAGGGTGCCCCTACTTTTGAAGGCGGCCTTCATATTTCAATGAGGAAAATGATGATAAACCATGATAAACCAGCAAAACCTCGAGCTATCCCGGGGTTTCCCAAGATCTTCAGCTCCCCCCCGGCGCCCGCGCTGCGCTGGGGGACTAAGGCAACCCCTGAGGTGCCACCGACCCAAAGGCCCTCGCCCAGCACTGCCAAAGCTTGGACGCTGCTGGAGACGCCTTCCGAGATGGAGTGAGTGCCTTGGCACGTGGAACTCTGGCTGCGGTGTAAGTGTCAGCATGCTGCCTTCATGATGTATCTTGATATATCATGATATGTCCATATGTTTATGGCTATCAAAGGAAGAGTCATGTTGGAGACAGAGGATGAGCAGTCATCTGCTGGTTGGATGCCCTTCATTTCTTCGTGGACCCAGACGTCTCACAATGGTCCCTTCCCTCTGTTTTTGCAGCGATTTCCCGTGTGTGGTGTGCAGTCAAGCTTGCTTCCAACTATCAACAGCTGATTCTTTCCATTCCTTTCCTGTTTCCCAGGTTCTTGCATTTTTGGCTGGTTGGGGAAACCGTCACCCAAAACAACATCCACCGACCACTCAACCGGCCACTCACATCATGAAAGGATAATTTACCTGCTGCTTCAGGCCAGCAAATGAAGTTTTTCTTGCGGAGCGGCGTTATCCCCTTCCGTGAAATCTTCATGATGTTTCTACACTTATCAGATTTGGACAAATAGATGTTGGTGAGGGTCCTGGCCATCACAGAAGCTGGAAATGCTTTTTTTGCGTTTCATGTCTCTTGGCCGAGGCTCACTCGAAGGTCGTGGTGTGCTGGTTCATCTGCCAACATCTCACAGAACCATCAGACGCACCGGAGAGCAGCACGTGTTGATGGGTCATTAAACCTGGGCGAAAAAAAGTGCCCAAACTTGACATGGCTTGACATTTCCCGGATCCAGCCCCGTGCCAAGCAGCACGACACCCGCTTCGTGTGCCCGTTGAGCACCGTTTGCTGGCCAGATTTCATGAAGCCCTGAGGAGTGGAATCTCCCTCAGGTGATGCTGAATCAATTCATCGTAACGATTCCCAACAAATGGAGAGCCAAAGCCAAATTGAAAAACCACACATAATCAGGAGAATGAGGATACTGTTGAGTTTCCTAATCATTAGCCACTGTATAATGGGATCCTTGCAGGAAATCTAATCTAGAGGCGGCTAGAAGTTCACAGCCCCCCAGGTTTTTACATTCAATTGTCAAGCTACCGGGCTGGGGAACTGAACCACTTCATTCTGCATGAGTTCAGCTCAACAAAGGATTTTGCCAACAGAAAATGGTCCCAAAGCGGATGTGTCGAGCCATGTGTTACTTCAAAAAAGATTGGATGCCGCTATCTGCTATCTTTTTGTGTCACATTTTAATGCCATGCTATCCATGGCAGGCGGCTTCTTTGACCCACATCCTGACCAGCCTTGATGGTTCCATCTCCCAGACCGCAGAACAGCCAGTCACCAGCGCTGATGAGGCACCAGCACACGTCCCCCAAGGGCACTTCCAACCTTGGAGCTGGGCCTACCTGCCCGAAAAGGTCGGCTTTCTTTATGTCAGACATGGTTCAGGTGAATGCCACAGGTCCGTCAAAATACGAGCTATACCATCTGATCATTTCACAGAGCCATGGAAAATTGATGAAAATTGTCCATTTACAAATGATTTATGATTTAGCTTGAAAAACGGAGGTTTTCCATAACCATGCGAAATAACCAAAGGGTACCAACACCAACGGGATAATCATCGTGTTCCATGAAGAAATCATCGAATGGGGACTGGAAGCAGCTTTTTTATCCAACTCTTCATTAGTTCAATCCCCTGCAGTACATGTACTACTCAAATCTACCACTTTTGCTGATATACCCTGTGGTAAACATACAAAAAGCTATTGAAAATGGCCATTTATAGTGGATTTAACCATTGAAAATGGTGATTTTCCATAGCCATGTTAGTTTACCAGAGGGTATATCATAGCAGATCTCAGATCATCATATCATGATACACTATGATACACTCATGTCACTATCGATCCTCTCTCTCTCTCTCAGTGTTTTGTGGATGAAATCCCCCATTCCCCGGGCAAAAAACTCCTCACCTGGCTGCAGCCCTGCAACTCGGGCTGCAGCTCGAACTTGCCAGTGCCGGCCACATTGACCTTCCACCTTGCCAGGTGAAAAAATCTGCCATTGAGACCCTGAGATGCCCTGAGATGTGGCATCAACGGTGCAAAAACCCGGGTTATAGACGGCTACTTGGCGAACAGCCAAAAGTTTGGATTGTATCTGAACTCAGATTGTGGCAAAACATCGCAAGAATCCCTACCCTCAGTCAATTCGAGCGGGGAAAAGCGTGTTGAAGTCATCGCCTCTTCAGCGTCTTGTCACGTGAAGCGGTGTAGATACAGTCGGCTGCCATCACCACCGACATCACAGCATCTTTGTGTGCGCCAGTGATCTCAGAGTGCAAAAACATACCGTCTTCTCCTGGGCCAAGATCCGATGAGTAGAGAAGTTTCAAGATCCCCCGGATCAGCCAAGGGCCCCACAAGGGGTCCACCTCAGGTTGCCGAGCGGCGGACTTCGGTCTGCACGTTCACCGGCAACGGCCCAGCGGCGCGCCCGGCGTTGCGCTTCCGAGCAGAGGCCGTCTTGTTGCGGCTCTGACCTTGGACTGGGGATGCTATCTCCATGGTTCGGACAAGGTTTTTGTTGGAAAATGTGATATCTGATGGTGATTTAAACACGGGTCATTTAATGTCATTTATATATCTGTTTTCGAAAATTATGGCCAGATTTTGGATGAGAAATTCATGGTTTTAATAGCCATACCCCCGTGGAAGAAAAGGTAGGTCATCGACAAATTGGCAATCGTCCGTGGCTGTGTTGATGATGACAAAAAGCGTCCATGGCTACAATAACGATCCGGTTATGATGTCATAAATGCGGATGTGACCCACGAAAATATGCAGTTTCAGGAATAATAAAAAGAATAACAATAAGAATAACAATAATAACAATAATAATAATAAAAAGATACTGTAATATGAATATTGGTAGCCATTCAGATAAACCATAATAACTGAAAGTTAATCTTATCCCTGTGTGGGCATGTGTATGTATCTACATATTTATATATATATACACTTGCTCAGAAATATCGTATCGAATTACTGATGTGGAATGCATCTTACGTGCAAAAACACTTCAGTTAAACCTGACAGGAGACATTGGATGATCAGGAGTGAAAAACTGTGCGAAGGAAATCATTCAAATCGTTCTGATGCAGCTCAGCCATCCTCTACTGACAGTGGAAATTCAGATTGCGAAAACCGTGCGAACCAAGAAAATTGAACACAGGTTGTTTGAAAACGGCAAGGTGGTTCTTGGGTTGGCCACTTCCCATGGCAAAGAAATGAAGCAGGTACGTGGAGCTGATCAGACTCCATATCAGTCGTGGCATAGCCCTCTTCGTTGGGCAACCAGCTATGCTCACGAGGTTGCCCCCTGCTCTAAAGTGGATATTGACATGGAAACGGCAATTGAAGTTGACAAAGCATCATGAGGAGAAAAATCGAAAAAACGAAAACCAAACGAACAGCAAAAATCGACATCATCAGGTAGAAGTTTTACATCTATTCAGATGTTCCACACACACGCCCCGCTGCCGCGAGGCTTTTTAAGGCCCCGGCGAATGAGATGAAGGAAAGATGAAAATGAGATGACGATGAAAATGAGATGACAATTACTTAACCGGAACCCAAGAGGGGGAACGCAAAAAAGGAAAAGGAAAAAGAGAGAACACCAACACCAACACACCTGGCCCGAAACGGGCAAACCCTGAAAGGGCAAGGAAAAAGAAAAAAGCGGACGGACGACGGGCCAAAAACCAACCACAGGAGGGGGGGGCGGACAGAAGCGCCTGACACAACCTACAAGGCGAGAGCCAAAGCCTACCTAGGAACGCGACGGACCCAAACCTGACCTAGAGAGGGGAAGCACGCATGAAATAAGGGACCAATGGGGACCTAGTTGATGAAAAATGATGCATCCACATGACGTGCAAAAGTTCGTGATAAGGCTCAAGGCCCTCGGCTTTCAAGTCACCCCTATCAACAGCTTACGTCGTCAACCCCTGAATTACGTGCACAATTGAACCTCACCAACGACCATAAAAAGAAAAAAGACCACACCTAAAGTCATGTGCCTGCCTGGACATTCCATTATGATGCGCTGATAATGCATGTCTGTCAAGCTCTCGAGCAGCAGCGAAAAAGAAAAAGAAAGGATGTTGTCGCAGCTTCCAGCTATGCAGAACACGAGAAGTCTCAAAAACGGTGATGCCAGTCACAGCGGCACACTGTTCAACACTCACTCGACCGACATGTGAGACGATGAAAAAAGGCCGGCAGTTTCACTTTACTTAGACGAATTACTAATTCAAAAGTGTCAATTCAGAGATCGTTTCAACGTGTCACTTTTTAGCCTGGAAAGGCTTTCCCCGAGGGGTTCATGCCACCTTGACGAATCCAGCATGAATCACACACTTGCTCAGAAATATCTTATCGAATTACTGATGTGGAACGCATCTTACGTGCAAAAACACTTCAGTTAAACCTGACAGGAGACATCGGATGATCAGGAGTGAAAAACTGTGCGAAGGAAATCATTCAAATCGTTCTGATGCAGCTCAATCATCCTCTACTGACAGTGGAAATTCAGATTGCGAAAACCGTGCAAACCAAGAAAATTGAACACAGGTTGTTTGAAAACGGCAAGGTGGTTCTTGAGTTGGCCACTTCCCATAGCAAAGAAATGAAGCAGGTACGTGGAGCTGATCAGACTCCATATCAGTCGTGGCATAGCCCTCTTCGTTGGGCAACCAGCTATGCTCACGAGGTTGCCCCCCCTGCTCTAAAGTGGATATTGACATGGAAACGGCAGTTGAAGTTGACAAAGCATCATGAAGAGAAAAATCGAAAAAAAAAAAGAAAACCAAACGAACAGCAAAAATCGACATCATCAGGTAGAAGTTTTACATCTGTTCAGATGTTCCACACACACATACGTACATATATATATATATATACATATACTTATATATATATATACACATATATCACATATATATATACATATACTTACATATACGTATATGTACACATATATCACATATATATATACATATACTTACATATACGTATATATACATATACGTGTATACACATATACGTGTATATACATATACATATACATGTACATGTACATATACATATACATATACATATACAAATACATATACGTATACCTATACATATTCATATACATATACATATACATAAAAATATACATATACATATACATAGACTTATATATATATATAATCTAGTTTTATCGGTATTGCCATGGCATATATTATCCAGTAATGGAATGTCACCAGCAATGGTGGGCACTGGATTTGTCAGGAGACAGACCAAAAGCACATCAACACTCGGGTATTACGGTATTACTGGGATATAAAGCCGGCAAGATCATACTCTCTGCTAATCACTTGATGGGATCTTGGGGTAGGCAAACTCCCGATCGCAAAGTTTGGAGCCCTGGAGATGGCCATCTTTTGGATTCCAATTCACATTACAGATCTCAGCCTCTGGTAATCAAACATGACTTGCTGGAAATTCCCACATGTAGTTCGATTTTCCTACTAAAAAAAACTCCATTCATAGAGGATGTTCAATTGCCACAGTTGATGACACCGGGTAAAATGGCTACCAGTAATAGGACCCGGGCTTTGGTGACCCCTGTGCAGCCGTGGCTCCTTTGTTCTTGCCCTTCTGTCGTCTAACCACACCTGCAGCAGGGCCAGCCCAAACCCAACCGCTTCTAAGAGGTGGAGCCCCCTAGATAGCTAAGTTTGCTTACTCCAAGTTCACGGTTATGGTAGACATATCTATACTTACCAAATGCTACTAATATTTAATAGTTTTTTTTGCCAACTCATACCTGGGGGGCACCACCTAGGAGACATCTCCCCCCAAAAAAAGCGCCGCCCAGCCTGGCCCATTTGGACGAGTCTCCTGTTCACCTCGTCCTCGTCCACCCCGACCCCGGCCTCTGCCTGGCAAGCCATGGCTGATCTAAAAAAGAGTTAGTTTCTAAATTACCTAATGTCAACCCTGGATTAATAAACCCCTCTAGGGGTTGTTTAATTGGGAGGGTACCATGATACTGTATCATATTATGACTATCGGAGGGGTACCCCCCTAATTAATAAACCATGGTAATATTAATCCGGGGTTGACACTACATACTACCCACCTAACTATCTTGATTTTGGAGAAAAGTTCACCCTTGTGATCTTGGTTTCGTCCCCATAAAAGCATCCATTTAAGCCCAAAGAAAGCATCAAAGATCAAGCTCCCTCTTCGAATGCCCCACTGCCCCACCTTGGCCGCTCCCTCTTCCCTGGTCTCCTCTGCCCTGATTCCTTCTGTTTCGAGCCATGGCACGGAGACCGCGTGTTGAGAAACGGGGCACAAATTTGTGGTCTTCATTTCCGCTGCGTTCATGGCATAGCTGGAATGAAACATATGGCAAATATATATATATATATTATATTATTATATTATATTATATTATATATTATATTATATTATAATATATATATAGGTAAATTATAATATTTCACTAACCTGAATTAAGGCCATTTGGGGATGATTTCCCTTATTAACTATGATTCCAGTGAGGTCGCAGTGAGGTCGTTATAATTTACCCATATATATATATATACATATAACTCTAACTACGTATATATATATATGTACATATATTGACATATATTAACCACATTTAGAATTAATCCGAACATTAAATTCTGTGTCTGGCCTCCAGGCCTCCCTCAGGTGACATGTCAGGCATGTGTTGATTTTGGCGCTGCATCTGGTTATGGATGAAGTTTCTGGAGGAATGTCAGTGATTTCTAGTCAAAACGCCACGGCGGAGCACAGACGCAACAGCGTACATGGATGCACTCTTCCCTTGAGTGAGCATCGTTCCTCGAAAGGTTCCATCAAGTGACCAAAGCTCAGCCAAAGAATACGCAACTGAAGCAGGTGGTCAGTCAAAATGGGAGCATGGCTCAAAGATGGAGTTCAATGCAGCTCTAAATTTGGTCATGTTTAGTACACCGATCCAATTTGCGAGCCAAGTAATTGTGGATCAAATGATTTTACACACTGGAGAAAGTAATACCCCCAGTAATCATCATCATAGTACCCATGAAATTGCCATGTTGGGGTCATGCCCCATTTTCGGACACGCCCATGATATTATTCAATATGACCCATTTTGCCTAATGCCCTGTCTTTTTGGAATCCATTAAAATCATCACTGGTTGGTGGTTTTAACCATCTTGAAAAATATGAGGGAGGATTATCCCATGTATGAAATGGAAAAAAAAATCCAGTCATGTTTGAAACCACCAGCCAGATCAAAATCCATCAAAATCCATGCCTAACCAGCAAGGGTGACCTCTGCGTCTCTTTTCTTCACAGCAACGGGTCTGGCCGTGGGATCCTCACTGTCCTCCCAGGGCCTTGGCGGATTTCTCAAGGCTGTCCAATTGCACCTGCCACATCCAAGCCGGAAGATGGAGAAATTGAAGTTTGGAGCTTTCAATGGGATTTGTTGGGGATCATCTGGGATCAGGATTCTTATTGAATCATGGGAGTTTTTCTAGGATGCTGGGATGTTTTTTTGGGATATACCCTCCGGTGTCAAACATGGCAAGTGAAAATCCACAAAACAAATGGAGGTTTATAGCTGGGAAAATCAATGAACTTAATGGGTGGTTTTGACTGAAAGCGATGTCCTTGCCCCCAAGAGATGTCTCGTCGTTATGCTTCGCTGTTTTGTTTATCACGGTTCGCTGTTATATGGGGATGTGTCAAAACCCTGGTACCTAGTGAACCCCAAAATAGCTGGTAAATGGATGTTCATCCCACTAAAAATGTATCTATAGGTATTGACTCATACCCTACCCATGAAAAATGGTGATTTTCCATAGTTATGTTAGTTTACCAGAGGGTAGCCTACGAGAAACCGAGATGTCAGTGCAAATCTCTGAGGAATGTCGACACCGGAATCAACAACTTCAGCGACGCACCTTCTGTTGGTCGTTCAGTTTCGATTTCTGCTCATCGGACAGCTCCTGTCCTTGCAATTTGGGAAGGGAAACCTGCTTGGATTTTGCACCTTGACAGCTACGTGCGACAATCTAAAAAATGTTCGGAAGAACGCAACACACAGAACCTGGATCTTCCGTTTGAACCAGGTGCACATCATGTTTGATCCTGTTTTCATGAATAAGTCTCCAACAGAACCATCCACCCAGGCCCTAACACTGGAGCCCAGCCTGTTACGGTTGCCTGAGAACTGACCATGTCCTCAGCACCGAAAACGCACAGGGTTGGTGGTTGACTCACCATCCGCAGTAGAGGTTTATGGCATCGGTTATGCCCCTAGAAGATGATGTACATAAAATGACCCCCTTCTATGGTTTCTTAAAGGGATGGTGGCATTGGGTTTACCACGCCAAACTGGATCATCCCAGGTGAAAAGCAACATCGAAAATATGTTGAAGCCTCATATTAGCAGATAAGGAAAATCGCGACAGCAATGTGCACGCCAAGAGGCCACATAAGCTCTCCATTCTCTCAGGAACATCTGTCTATGAGCCTCCTGGACCTGCGGCTTGGCGTGTAATCTGAACTCCTTTCTCGCGTAGGTATCGCCCAAACTCCTCATCTGAGGGTCCAGTTTCACCCGATGGAGCCTCATGATGGTCCTGTGCCAGGACCAATGGAAATGGGGAGCTGTTTTCATCCTGGTCCATTCATCTTCATCGGGAATGTACCCTCCGGCCATCAAACATGGCGATGGAAAGCCGTCCTTTTTGAGATATATATGTTTTTTTTCCAACGCCCTTTTTGCTGCACGTCAGATTGCTGCACGTCAGAAGGGGTGGGGCATGCTAGGGAGGCGGCTGGGGATGGGGAGGTGGGACCTAGATGATTATAGATGATTTTCCTGTTTAAATGCTGTACCTTTCAACATGTTCAAAACTGCAGTCCAAACTGGGGGCCCTCGAAACCTTCGAAACCATTGCCCCTGCCCTGCCCTAATCCCTGTCCGAAACAGGCTCTTGCTTTCGCTCATCAACGATGTCATAATGACCTCGACGATGGCCAACATGTTGAATATGTGTCTGTCTGAAAATGGGCAACCATGAAATGGCAATTGGAATAATATTTATATTTGTTTATATTTTGCGTATATATACATGTATACAAATAGATATAGATATATATATATATGAAGATAAATATATATATATATGAAGATAAATATATATATATATAGATAGATAGATAGATAGATAGACATGTTTTCTCTGTGAAAATTTGATTAACCATAACATTCTTGGGGGCCATATTTTCGGACAAACTCAAGCGTTACGCCACTGCGAGTCATCAACTGGTCCAAAATCAAGATCGATGCGGCCGAGTCACAAAAACCAAAATCCACACTGCGGTCAAATGGTTTGAGCCATTGCGCGCAGCAATGAAAAAGCATCAACGTGATAAAACCCACTCCCATAAACCTACCACTGGTGATGAAAGTTGCCACCCATATAGTAGTTCCCCAAGCAGTGCGGCCACACTGGGAGGTTCTTAAGGTAAGTGTTAAGGCCCGGTGTTCATTCGAGGTGGTATCGATGTCCCTGGTCGTCGCGTACGGCATTTTCCCTGTAAATTTCCACACAAAATTGGCTCTTGTGAAATATCCATGCGCATGTCGGCTACGCAGGCTCGCACAAAGTGTGCTTCCCGGTCTTGGGACCGGTCTTCCTCCTCAACATCATCATCTTCCTCCTCCTGCACAGCAACATCATCCTCATCCTCTCATCATCATCATCATCATCATCATCATCATCATCATCATCATCATCATCAAGACCATCATCATCACCACCATCATCATCACCATCACCGTCACCATCATCATCATCATCATCATCATCATCACCATCATCATCATCATCATGTTCATCACCATCATAATAGTCAACATCATCGTCATCGTCATCATCATCACCATCATCACCAACATCATGATATTCATCGCCATCATCATCGTCATCATCATCATCACCATCATCATCATGATCTCCATCATCATCATCATCATCAACATCACCATCATCACCATCATCATGATGTTCATCACCATCATCATCTCCATCATCATCATCGTCTTCGTTTTCATCATCTTCATCATCATCACCATCATCATCATCATCATCATACATCATACATCATCATCATCAACAACAACATCATCATCATCATCATCATCATCATCATCATACATCATCATCATCATCATCATCATCATCATCATCATCATCATCATCATCATCATCATCATCATACATCATCATCATCATCATCATCATCATCATCATCATCATCCACAACAACAACAACAACCACAACAACAACATTATACTACATTATACTACATTATACTACATTATACTACATTATACTACATTGTCCTTTTACTCCCCCTCACACTGTTCGGGGTCTCTTGCCGGGATAATGATTTTTGGGATGATTTATTATTGTTCTTGGGTTTACCACATTCAGCGACTGCCTGGGCACATGGATATGTCCAACTGGTGCAAATAGACCCAAACCCTTTTAAGCAGAGACAAGTCTGGAACAAGACCTTTGAAGTGAAATGGAAGTGTGCTGACTCCTCTCACTCCTTCTAACTCCCTCTTGCTCCCTGGAACACAGCAATTGGAACCAACAACAACTGATAATAAATGGGTGTAAATGGATCAAAAAATGATGATCAAAATGATTCAAAATGGTGAAAACCACCAATGAAAACGCGTTATTTTTATGCCCCTACTCCCTCACTGCCCCAGTCAACCCGTCGGGGCACCCAAACGTTGGCTAGTCCCTAGGGCGTGAACTGCGGCAGGTTGGTCGAGATGCTACGAAGCAAACGACCAAACGATCTGGCGGGGCAGCGGGTTCAAAGCATGGAATCGAAACAGGCCTAAGATCGTGCAAACAGCAAAAAATAGCAAAAAGAGCACCTGACAGCAACAGCAGGTCATCCATTTTTCCAGATGTCGTTCTAAGGTTTCCCTCACCACGGATCGCTTTTGCGATGGGAGGGTGCAAGTGCCCTTCGCCGTTTCTGCCATTCACGTTGTGGCACTCCAGCAGGAAAGTTCTAGTCGTGCGATGTCTGAACTGTTCACAACAGAAGTTCTATGCAAAGGCCAGGGCTCAGGGCACTTGATTGTACAGAACGCAATGCGCTCTTGTTCGTGACACACTGCTGGTTCCCAAAACTTGGCACGTTCTGCATGTTGCGCCACCGGGTGACTTGTGCTACGGAGGAACATCATCTCCAAAAGTAATACACAACAAAAAGTGTCGTGGTGGAGGCAAGTGATTTGAAAAACTGCAGGCACCACTATCAACTTGGTGTGTCCATGGCATGCCTTCCAAAATGGGTCCGAACATCAGCGGAGATATCTTTGGCCCATCCCAAACACAAATACGGGGAAGCTCTGGGACTCCATATCACATCTTCGGCGATCTCAGCACCTTTAAATGGACCATTTCTCCCTGACCAATGGCTCAACCTCCCACGTCCCTGGTTCAAAAGCGTCCAAAGATCAGCCCTTGACCCTGGAAAACTGCCAGTCGCTCAGACGCTTCCCCTGCGCCGGTCCCCTCCCCCAGGTGAGCACCATCCATGCGTGAAGTGAGTAGAAACTCAGATTATCGCACGACTCCCAAGAGCATACAATAACATACTAATCAACATCATCGCCCTCCGGTCAAGATGATTTACCTGATCAAAATCCTCTTCCATAGCAATGAGAAAAATTGTGACCATATTCCATTGATATTCCATGAATAGAAGCATTTCTGCTGGTTAAATTGCCATAAATCCATGGTAAATCCCCAGAATTTTCCCACCTCCAGGCCAAGACTTTCAACGACAGCTCGCGATCGCTGCCTCTCACCTCGCGGAATCTGTTGATTGCGAGGAATCCGTTTTGCAAATAACAAAATACAGTAGTGGTTTATTGATTTACGGTATGTTCTAAGGATTTATTTAGTTATTTAGTTGTTCATCTATTTAGTTGGTGAGTTAGCTAAATAGTTTGTTAGTCAGTCATTTGGTTATCTGGTTATTTGATTAGATAGTTAGTTAGGGAGTGAGTGAGTTAGCTAGTTAGTCATTAATTTAGCTAATATAATTGTATATAAATATGTTTAGTTAGCTGGTGAGTGAGTGAGTTTAGTTAGTCAGTTGGTTATTTGGATGTGTCTCAAGATGCGGATTGGATTGTCCCCTTAGGTGTTGATATTTATTGGGTGTATAAAGCGGGATATATGTAAATATATATGCCATAGATAAATATATGATGGTGATGATGATGATGATGACTACGCTGACGCTGACGATGATCATGATCATGATCATGGTGATGATGATACCTGATGATACCTGATGATACCTGATGATACCTGATGATACCTGTATACTGTATACTGTATACTGTATACATAATACATAATACATAATGTATCCAAAAAAATGGTGTGTGACTGTATAGAACTGTGTCTGAAAAGGGGTTGTACCCCCAAAATTTATGACCATTTCTGTGGGGATAATGATGATTAACGAATGGATGGAATGGGGTGCACTAGGCCTTAGGCGCACCCATTTGACAGAAATAATTGCCTAATTGATTATCTATGCTCAAGTTAATTGTATAAATTCGTTGTTTCACTCGGAAATCTAACTATCTTAAACGCTTGTATATGCGGGCATCCAATGAATCAGTGGGGAAGGAAATCGTCATGAAATGTCATGAACCATTTGGGTAGTCAGAACCATATACCATGGTGAATTCAAAAATAGCCGCAGGGATGGAGGTGTTTACCCAACCCATGGTATTTATATAGGCTTTGGTTTCCATCTTATGTCTGGGATGTACATTGAAAATATAAAAGCAGCCTCTGCTAATTCAACAGTTCATGGAAAATCACCCTTTTTCAGAATTTTCATAGGCATCACATCGTCTCTACCTCTAAAAGGGATCATTTTTCCATAGCCTCCGTAGCCTCCGTAGCCTTCGGGTTTGGTCCGGCGCCTTGTCCATGAGGGCAGCACCGGAGCCTTCGAAGCCGTCCACTGCAATGATGCGGTCCGAGGAGACGACCTGGAACCTGGGCTCCACATGGCTCCACGGAGGATGCCGCCAGGCAGGGCTCAGGGCGGTCCTCGTTTTTGTGGTTACCCTCTGGTAATGACTAACATAGCTATGGAAAATCACCATTTTTGATGGGAAAATCCACTATAAATGGTAATTTTCAATAGATATGTTAGTTTACCAGAGGGTAGCACAGCCATAGCTATGTTCCAGCAAAAGCCTGTGATAAATTAACACAAAACGACCCTGAAAATCAATGATTTTATCTCACCCGTTTTTAGGTGGAAACTAAGCTTCCAAGCCCCATGAATGGCAAGGTCGTCATGTTAATTCATATAATTCATTGGAGGGTATATATGGGATAACCATGGAGAACTGACGAAACATGGGCTTACTAGCATCTTTATTATTGGGATTCTCATGGGATATGTCAGTAATGGAATATATGGTTATACGACGGGAGAGAACTATGACAATATCATATTGAAAAGGGAGCACTCAAAGAAGGTGAAATCACCACCACGGGTTGTATCTCGTTCAGGTCATCGATTTTTGGTGCGCTGGGAACGTGTGCATTGAGATATTGAGATCATCTACCCTCCGGGGAAACCAAACATGGCTTGCTAAGAAAATCACCCAACGTAGCTCAGGTCTATAACCGGATGATGTTCATGGCTGTAAACTACCATGTTTGATGTGACCTCCATAAGGGGATCGGCGGACTCTACAAACAGCACCATGGTGGAGTGATACCTGGGAACACACCTGGCACATTACCGAGGGCGGTACGGATGCGGAACAGACTTGTTGTAATCCTGCAATGCTCATGGCCGGAATCGCTCCAGCAGTGGGTGGATGTGTATCTCAGTGGATACCTCTAACTTACAACATGATCTTCTAACCTTACCATGGTCAGTTCACACACTTAAATTATACATGGGATATCTCACATCCAAAATAATCCAAGTACATTGGAGCCTCAAGGATTCAAAACAGCTCCTCTCGACGTCAAAATCTCCTAGCCAGCTGTCCCAAGGCCTTGACCACACCATCTTCGACCCCAAGCACCAGGAGGAAGTGTGGGCCATCTTTCAGATGAATGCCCAAACTCTTCCCATCGCGTTGCAGTTTCACCTCAAGGGGTGAACTGGGTGAAACATGCAGTGATGGAATTTGGCGGATCCAAAGTGCCAAAATAAACATTAAACGTTCAAAAACATCCCCCAGGGCCAATTAGCTCAGGTTCACGGTGGCATTCGGAAACTGGAAAGTGGTATTCGGAAACTGGAAACCCTGTATTCGGAAACTGGGAGTTGTACCCCGAAACTAGAAAGTGATATTCGGAAACTGGGAGTTGTATTCGGAAACGATTATTCGGAAACTGGAACCCTGGAATTGGGAAACTTTCGAGATACAGCCACAGAATGCTGATGTGAATTTTCCACCATCCGCTGAGCTCTTCAAAGGTGATCCCTCATGACGATAAGTTGAAGTTAAGATCCTATTCGATATAGTGGCCAGAGAAAGTGGCAGTTTTGATCCCGTATGAAAATAAGTTTTGGTTACTATGCGCACCCATGTATTGCTCAGAGGGGGTGGCAGTTTTGCTCCCCCATGAAGATAGGTTGAAATTAAGATCCTATTCAATAGAGTGGCCAGATAAAGTGGCAGTTTCGATCCCGTATGAAAATAAGTTTTGGTTACTATGCGCACCAATGTATTGCTCAGAGGGGGTGGCAGGTTTGCTCCCCCATGAAGATAAGTTGAAGTTAAGATCCTATTCGATATAGTGGCCAGAGAAAGTGGCAGTTTTGATCCCGTATGAAAATAAGTTTTGGTTACTATGCGCACCAATGTATTGCTCAGACGGGGTGGCAGTTTTCCTCCCCCATGAAGATAGGTTGAAGTTAAGATCCTATTCAATAGAGTGGCCAGATAAAGTGGCAGTTTCGATCCCGTATGAAAATAAGTTTTGGTTACTATGCGCACCAATGTATTGCTCAGACGGGGGTGGCAGGTTTGCTCCCCCATGAAGATAGGTTGAAGTTAAGATCCTATTCGATAGAGTGGCCAGAGAAAGTGGCAGTTTGATCCCGTATGAAAATAAGTTTTGGTTACTATGCGCACCAATGTATTGCTCAGACGGGGTGGCAGTTTTCCTCCCCCATGAAGATAGGTTGAAGTTAAGATCCTATTCGATATAGTGGCCGGAGGGCGTGGTAGCTTTGATCCCTTATGAAGATAAGATGAAGTTAAGAACCTGTTCCATATGTTGGCCAGACAGGGTGGCTGTTTTCATGCTGAATGAAGATAAGTTCAAGTTAAGATCCTATTCCATATATTGACCAAACGGGTTGGCAGTTTTGATCCCTTATTGCAATAAGTTAAAGTTAATATGCCCATCAATGTATTGTTCATTCAATATATTGGCCAGAGGGGGTGGCAGTTTTGATCCGTTAACTTCAACGGACTATACCCCCCAATGTATTTCTCAGAGGGGGTGGTAGTTTTGATCCCTCATGAAGTTACGTTGACGTGAAGGTCATGTTCCATATATTGGCCAGAGGCGGTGGCTGTTTTCATCCTGAATGAAGATAAGTTCAAGTTAAGATCCTATTCAATATATTGGCCAGAGGGGGTGGCAGTTTTTATCCCTTATTGCAATAAGTTTAGATTATATACTTTGCCCATCAATGTATTGCTCATTCAATATATTGGCCAGAGGGGGGGGGCAGCTTTGATCCCTCATGAAGAATAAGTTTAGGTTACTATGCCCATCAATGTATTGCTTACAGAGGATGGCAGTTTGGATCCATCATGAAGATGAGTTGAATGAAATGTCCTTTCAATATATTGGCCGCAAGGGGTGGGTTGGATTCCTCGTCAAGATAGGTTGAAAGACATCATAACTTGATCATTACTGTTGTCTGTGTCCCAAATGTGCATGATCTTGATGTGAATCTGACATCACATCTGTCACCTTACAAGCAACCTTAAAGAAGCGCTAAAGCAGCACTGGGCCAACCCTAAACTGCATCGCTCTGAACCATGGAATAGTTTCTGAACCCCCTAAAGTTTCTGAATCCTTAGCAATAATTTCTGAATCCTCGGGAATACTTTCTGAATCCGACGACATAGTTTCTGAATTCGACAATATAGTTTCCGAATCCGACGAGTAGTTTCTGAATCTGACGTGCAGTTTCTGAATCCCGAGTTTTTGAATCCAGTGGAGTTTCTGAATCCGACTTTGTTCCATTAGCTGAACCTACGCCAGCCCAGTGGCTTCGTTGATCCTGGCGCGCTGGAAGGTCAGGACCATCTGATCATGGGTGTGTTTCAGCATGTCCAGGACTTCCTGCGACCGAAGACTGGGATGACTGGATCGAGCGAATCGTTCAAGTCGCCCCATGATATCTGGATGCCAAGTCATGATATCTGGGATATGGCATATATGGCAACGGCAACGCATGAAAATCCACAGAGCTACGAACCTTCTTTTACCTTCTCTGGCTTCAGTCTGACATTTGCCCAAATGATTCACAACTCCCATGGCCACTGATTACCTGACACATCCCATGGCCCATCCTTGCTCTTCTCGCTTGTCTGCCCATTCACGGCCAAAAGCCGATCGTATTTCTGGACCTGGCGCCAAGTGTTGCTTGGGGTGCCACACACATGGCCGGGCAAGAAAGTCACTCAAATAAAACAAGCTCAATGGTCCTGATATTCATGGGACATGAATGTTACAGTTGGCCACTTATTTCATTGTAACTCTGACAAGTGCTAAGCAAAGTCACCACAAATTTTGATAGGTGGCTCAGGTAGCTCTTCCAAATGATCTGCTTTAGGAGCCAGCCCTAATGGCTATACTTTTGTGAGTAGCGGTCACTTTCTACCGGCTCATGACCATTTATTGACATTGCATCAAACCTCTCACAGATTCATAGAGTGCAGGGTGAGGCCCCATCACCCCGCATCAGGTTGCATTTGTTTGTTGCTTTAATCCCCATCGTTTGGTTGGAGAAAGGTTCCGTTTTGGATGGATCTTTCTATGGATATACTGGATATACCCTCCAGTAAACTAACAGTTTGCCATGAAAAAAATTGGAAAATGGATGAAAATGGCATGTGTGTGTAGATGATTGACCTACCCTCTGGTAATTTAACATAACTATGGAAAATCACCATGCTATTAATGGGAAAATCCACTATTTCTATGGCCATTTTCAATAGCTATGTTAAATTACCAGAGGGTATTATTAAAATCAACTTTCCATGGTTTTTTCCATAGCAACAGTGGTGGTCCTGGCAGCGCGGTGCCACCCCACTGTTGTTCCACTCCGCCACCAAGCCGTCGGAGGTGACGCTGGTCACAATGCAGGCCTGACCAGTGGCTACCGGCGACCCATAGGAATCATGGGAAAATCATGGGAAAACCATTGGTTTTTCCATCGAAAAATGGAGGTTCACCCTCTGGTAAACAATCATACTTATGTAAAGACACCACTTTAAGAGCTAAATCATCTATTCAACTTATTCAACGGCCATTTTCCATAGCCATAGCAAACTGTTAGTTTACTGGAAGTGTTGCCCCCTTACAGGCAGAGATTTGTTCAAGGGTGGGATCTAACTAGGCAAATACTTTTGAAGGCTATCCACTCCCACACAGTGCAGACTGGATATAATTTAAAACCGGAAAAACGGTATATAACTTGTGTTTTTTCCAATTGATTCCAATTGTTGGTCGCATATTCTACATTGGTTCTGCATCCCACTGCATGTCCATCCTGTTGTATCTCCCTTCTACTGTGCTGTGTACATCGTGTACAGTAGTCATTGTCGACCTCATCTTTGTGGTTGTTAGGATTTTCACTGTTCCTTTCCATTGTGGATCCTGATATACACCCCGTAAAGATATGCACAAAGATGCACTTAAAGTATTACAAAGTCAATCTCCAGCGAGCTGGGCCCTATTTTTTGGATTCGCACAGCAGCTCAACCTTTTATGCCATGCACGAAGGTTCTGCATCCTTGACAAGTCAGTCAAGGGACCTGATTCAAAAGCCCATGGCAGGGCAACACTACTTCTATGCAAAGCCCATGGCAGGGCAACCCTTTAGGAGCTTACAGCTCAGTGCCCATGGCAGGGTCACATTCAAGGTCCATGGCCTTACATTCAAGGTCCATGGCCTTACAGCTCAGTGCCCATGGCAGGGTCACATTCATTGAAAGCCAATGGCACGAAATAGCCAGCCAAAGGGTTCAACGCCCAGCTTTACGCTTTGTTCCCTTTCCCTTGGGGCGGGAGTGGAGGGAGCCGTAAAGCTGCCCCCAACACCATAAAAGCTTTCAACTAGCTACCTCATCCAATCAGTCGAAGCGACCATCTTGGATTCGCACAGCAGCTCAACCTTTTATGCCATGCACGAAGGTTCTGCATCCTTGACAAGTCAGTCAAGGGACCTGATTCAAAAGCCCATGGCAGGGCAACACTACTTCTATGCAAAGCCCATGGCAGGGCAACCCTTTAGGAGCTTACAGCTCAGTGCCCATGGCAGGGTCACATTCAAGGTCCATGGCCTTACATTCAAGGTCCATGGCCTTACAGCTCAGTGCCCATGGCAGGGTCACATTCATTGAAAGCCAATGGCACGAAATAGCCAGCCAAAGGGTTCAACGCCCAGCTTTACGCTTTGTTCCACGCTTCCCACTGTGGAAACAACAGTGCTCGTTGATGAATATCGACGAATAGCGAGCCACATTGAACTTAGCAGTCCAAGACATTTTCAGCCGAGGCAGCATCGATAAGCCATCAGCGATGTAAATACGGGCCACATTGGAATTTTTCCAACGTCCTCGGATCAACGTTCTTTCCATCAGGCCATGAGATTGCATCTCATAAGTGGCTCCTCCTCTACGGAGGCTGTAAGGCCTGAAATTCAAAGCTTGCAGATCCAAAGCTTCGAGTATCCTCCTAAAGAGGTCTCTGAAAGCAGACCCACTTCGGTCCCAACAGGGCGTGCGCTCAAAGCCCTGCGTACGTCTTAGGTCAACCATAGCTGCCACTGTCTCCAAGGTGAACCGGTCATGAATTGTGACACTTTCCCTGGTATTTTGCCTGACCCCACTTTTGCTTGACGGTATTGAAACCAACCCAACGGTCCTATCCTGAATAAAGTCACAAGGGCGGATCTGCAACAATTCCCCTGTCCTCATGAGACAGTGGAACCCAAGCAGCAAAAGTGCCGCCATGCAGAGTTCACAATGAGCAATGCAATAGCCAGCCATCCCCAGCACAATGTCCTGCGTCAAAGGCGGGGCACGGCACGGCACTTCGTAGCGGCGCCAGATTGAATAGAGGCGCCAGGACTTGGTGAGCTTCTTCTTGGTGAAGGGCTCAAAGTAGTGCAACCCGCTCAAAGCATCCCCAATAAGGTGCAGGGGGCATCCATCCTCAAATTCTGCCTGAATCCAGTCAGCGATGCTGTCATCCAGTTTCTGCTTCTGAGCTGACAACCTCCAGAATGGGCTTCAGGCGCAAAACTGCATGGTGATACCTCTCCAACGTGGAGCGGGTGATACCTATGTCTTCTAGGACAATACTGACTCTGGCACGACGCCTGTCAGCCCGAGTGGCATGTCCTGCCCACTGATCACGATCGACTGTCATTATCAGTCGGATTCTCTGTTGATTCAATGTGCACCACAATGAGGTAGATGTCAAACGCCAATAGCAGCGCAGTCAACCGCGCCAGCAATGGCTTGAGCATGCGAGAGGACGTCCGACCCTTGGAGATAATGCTCATGCAAATATACGAGTCAGTTAAATGAAAGATTCTGCAATGACCCTCTTTAAGATGGGTAATCCTCCATTCCACTGCATGTATTATTGCTCTCATCTCCAATGCATTGATATGATCAGTTTTATCCCATCGGTAAGCGAACACCTTATCCCAGAGCCACCACCCTGCCGCCGCACTTTGGCGAGGGAAGCTCTTGGGATTGAGCAACATGCCACTTGCAATACGGACGTCGGAACCTGTGTGATTCACCCTTCTCAAAAGGCATCCGTGAATGGCAGAAACTGGGAGGTGCTTTTTCGTGGAACCATAAGCCAAACACCTTTGCAGGGGGATTTTTACACCAATGTCACAACAAAACCCTGGTGCCATTCCCATACGGTTAAAGAGCGTGTCATAGTCGCTTATCTGTATCCAATCCTGGCAGAGCATGGCTGCCACGTAGGCAAAGGAAAAACAGCTGAAGCTACTCTCTTTCTTGTGCATTAATCAAACGCCAGCGAGATCCTACCCACACAATAAATTGATCCTTGTATTGATATGGGGGGAACCGGAATTCGTCAGCAATCCATCTAAGACGTCCATCATGATTCACCCGATTCAACCCCGCTGGGCTAGGAGGGGGTTTGGCCCTTCTTATGCTTTTCATGCAAGTGGGCAAGATTGTCCCCTCAGCAAACCCGGGCCAAACAGCCCCTGGCTCCAGCCACTGCGAAAGCTCAGGATACTCATGGGTGATTGTAACCTCATACCACCTGTCCTTTTCTTCCACAGTCACGCCATCCATGACCGCCAGGTCGGTGTTCAACCAGCAGTATCGGGGCCTATGCAAGGGCACCACATTACAAGGATCCAATCTCAGCGGTTTGACCCCTAAGATCGACGAGATCTCGTTCGATGCCCCCTCATCCATGCTGGCCACGTTCTCGATTGCAAACTTGACCTTGAAAAGGTATCCATATACTTTCCGGATATCCTTCAGAATACGCGGTATTTCAAAGAATAGGCCACTTGAGTCGCCTTCCAGATTCCTGCGACCAACCTTGACCTTGCTGAGATCTACGCACGGGAATCCTCCCCACAAGTGGATTTCCTCCACCTGTGGGTAGAGATATCTCCACTGTCGAATTTCAGCCAAGGTGATGGACCTGACATCCCCGCATAGTTTCACATTAGGCCACCTTCGTCCGGTGACTCTGTTGGCCGGCGGATGCAGCTCATAGGATAGTGCCACACACGGGGTAACGCCACACAAATCATAGCAGCGAAAGGCACACCCCACCCCATTGAATAAGGACAGAACCAGCACCGGGATGATCTTTCCTCCTCCAAGGCCTGATCTGTCAATATCCGCAAACTCCATCCCAGCAGGGGTGAGGGCAGTGCTTTTTCCCACAGCACCTCCGGTCGAGCTTGCGTCACTGGCCGTAGTCACGCCACTGATCTCTGCCCGCAGGCTAGAATGGACCAAAAGGGCCGTGACACAGCACCCAAACAACTCACCCCTGACCTTAGCCTCAACGGTTGACCCAGAGGCTTGGCCAGAGATGTAGCTCCAGGTGTTGTCCAGCCAGACCATCGAAGGTCGGCGGAAAGCCATGCAGTGAACCCAGCGCCCTGCAATAACCTGAATCCATTTCTTCCGCAAGACTCCCTTGCCGATGACTACCAAAGTGCTCTGAATCAACCGCAGCAAGCGGTCAGGACCAGGCCCAATAGTACCTGCTTCCCCCTCCAGGTAGGCGCCCAGCTCGTTGACAGCCGGGGCCCCTGAGAGTCTCTTTTTGGCTGCAGACAGCACCCCAGCCTGAGTCCAGGCGTTTTCCAACTTGTCATGCAATTCCTTTCCGGCTACACCAACTCCGGGTCCAATACCCTTTTCCATTCCGCAAAAGTTGTCCAAATAGACATGATACCAGGGCTTCCCAGCCGCTCTGGCCAGGTCCAAGGTCTCCGTCATCCAAGCAGGCAGCGGCGATGTCCGCCGCACCTGGTGCAATGGAGGGAGCCTGCCCAGCACCGTAAGCTTCTCGGCCACCTCCTGCATCACGCTGACCGCTGAATGCCAGCCCATGGGAATCACGGCACAGCCCGGCCGATAAAGTGTCCCCGGCTGGAGTCCAAGGACATCGCCGGGAAAAGCCACATTGAAACTGAGCATCCGCGACCACCCAGGGGGGATCTTGAAGAGATAGAAAGCGGAAGACATATCACTTTGGAAAAAGGAAACCTGTTCATCAGCGTTCAGAACCAAGGATAGATACTGACAAATGGAAGGGAGGTCAGAAGTTGAACCCTCGAGCTGCCTGAAACAGGCATTTGAAGGTACCAAATTCATTATGGTGCGTTGGACTTCTTCGCCGTTTGACATAAAAGAATTTTTACCCACGGCAAACATTCCATTAAGCACTTTCTGACCATTCACTTCAAGGACATCCTCATCAGCGACCCAGGTGCAGATTCTTCTAGCAACCAACAACTTGAAGAAATCGAGGGACTCATCCACACGCACATGAACCTTTGCTTGCAACTTGACACCAGTTTTGGGGGCATCTACCAAGGACTCCTCAGGGTGTTCTAAAAACCAGCGCGTCCCTCCAGAAACAAGTCCCAAGACATCAATTGACCCACCATGTGATTCCGGGGGAAGGGCTTCAACAGCCGCACAAAACGAAATAACCTGCATTTTCGGCACTTCTTCCCCACTGTAGTTTACAAACCTGCTGGCTAGCTCTTTTTCTGCTTGCTGAGGCGACCGGTCAAGGCGGGTGTCTAAAGATAGCACTCTGGTGGTGCTGCGCCCGATGTTCTCAATGGCCTTCTCCTGAATGAGGGTTGGTTTCCTCTCAATAGCGGCACGGTCAAAGCCAGCCGTTCCATTCAACCCCAAAATGCCGAGGGCCGCCCAGACTTCAGCAGCTGTAATCCCCGCAAAATGCGAGGTGCAAAAGTCCGCCAGGCAGCTGAGTTGCGCCGCCTCACAAACCTTCGAAAACCGCCCCAAAGGAAGGGGAAAAAAGGGGTCTTCTCCGTGAAGGAGTGACCCGGTGCATGGCATTGCTGGCCTTGGACTTTCCCATGACCATGTGCCTGACCAAAGCAGTCACCGTCCTCTCCATCTCCAACCTGTGAAAGTTAAAAAGGATCCAGCAGATGGCCCGGCCCAGCATCTCAAAATTATGACACCGGTCGGCCAAAAGTCGGAATGCAAAAACACCTTTCTCCAGGTGACGAGGCAAGGGCACGGCCTGCGCCAGCCCGGCCTGCAGTACCTGCAGCTCCGAATTCAGCCGGTGAAACTCATTCCCACCTTTCATTTCTTTGGTGGCTCCTCCTTGTTCTCCTTCCAGGGATTCTGCTCGCCCTTGCCTCCTGTCCATCCCTCCTTCTGGTTTCCTTTGCCTTTTCCCCGGCCTCCACGGCCCTTCACCTCGCCTTTCTTTCCTTTTTCTCTGTTGCCTCCAGCCTTGCCCCGGCCTCCCTGGCTCCACCAGCCGCCGCCCGGCGAGTATCCTTGACTCCTCATTACCAGGCGGCGATGTTTGTGGGCCTCTAACATCATGGCGGTGGTTGCCGAGGCCACAGGCTCCAGCGGGTAGAGCTCGAGGTGAGATGCCGTCGCCCACGACCCCTCGGTCAGGGCTGTGTGAACAGCCACGAACCGCGACGCCAGTGCGTCGGCCGTCTCGGGGAGCTTGCCCAACCTGAGAAGGTCTATCGACTGAGCTAATGCATATAGCTCTCTCAGTAGGGGCGAGGCCGGCGAGTGATAGGGCCTGATGAGCAGGGCGAAGTAGGTCGAGATTTTCACTCCCGACACTAACGACGCCTCCGCTCCCTCGGTCTCGAGGAGACTCGCCTGATCTAGCTGAGTCTGGGCTTGTCTGATCAGCATTTCCATCACTGATCCAGGCTCCTTCAGCGCTCTTCTTTTGAGCGGCGGCTCGCAACTGAGGTCGGAGTCGCTCTCGCTGGCAGGGCGTCTTCTTTTGGAATCGCCACTGCTGGAATCGCTGGAGCCACTTGAACCTGAGCTTCCGGGGCCGCCAGGATCGGGCTTGATCAGGCTCTGCTCCTCGACCGGGATCCTGCGGCTCTTCTTCTTCTTTTTCTTTTTCTTGTCCTTGCCACGTAGCAGGTCGAGGAGCTGTTGTGCTGCATCTCCCTTGCCCTTCTGCTTCTTCTTCTCGCGTCGCAGGCGGGCTTCTTGCGCCGATGTCTGCACGGCCTGGGCCAGCAGAGCTGACGCCGCCCCTCCCTTGGACGTCAACTTCTTCGTCAAGGACCCGATACCAGAAGCGCTTGAAGCCTCTGGGGGAAGGACTCCGAGGGGCGTCTGATGGCGTGGCGACAGTGATGTCCCAGTCACCAGCCGTGACTTCTCCACCACAGACTCGGACTGCTCTTGATCGGGTCCACCACTCACACCCTTGACGCGAGGGGCACGGGTCGCCCCAGCCCCGTCGCCAAGGATGCGGCGCTTGGTACGTTGAAGAAGCTCTCGAAGGTGTGAAGGGCTTTCTTCTCCAGACTCCAGCTCCGCAGGTCCTTCTTCCCCGTCGGAAGGCACTCGAATAACCGGGACTGGTCCCTTGTTTTTCCCTGGCGCTTTGTCGCCCTTGGGTTTGGGACGGGCCCGGAGGGCTGATTTGCGCTCTGAAGGGGCAGCCACTTGAGCCGCCGCCTCCATGCCACGCAGGATAGCCTTTCCCGCTGCGGTAATGTAATCTGCCCGAAAAGACTCCAGAGTCCAAAGCCTGATCTTTGCAGCATGTACCACATATACCTCGGTCTGAGTGCATGGGTCTTCTGGGCAAAGATGAACACCCCCATCTTGCAGAAGTCGATCGACCTCGTCTGCACAGTCTGGAACTTCGCATCCGAGGAGGCTTCCTAGGACCATGAACCCTTCCTGGGGGTTTCCGGAGACTCCCACCACATTCATAGCAAACCAGCCCTCGTGTCCAATGGCAACTGAACTGTTGTGAAGAGCAACTTCTAGAATGCTCCCCACTGGGATTTGCAGGCGGCTCCAAGCAGGCGACCGACTGTCCACCTCGGCGCCAATCTCGACGCCAAACTGAACAGAAGGCGCCTCCTTTTCCTCCTTCTTCTTTCTGGGCGCCATTGCTTCGCTTAAGGGGGCGAAGGGGCCCTGTCCCAGAACGAATCTGGGGGTCTATAATGAAACTTTCTAAACGGGTCTTCCGCCGCTTTGTGGTATTGCTGATGCTTGCTGCCAGCTCTGTGTGTTCTCTTTCCCGATTTGTTCTTGTTCTTCTTTTTGTGCTTTCTAGACCGGCCTCCTTCTTCCTCTGGATGATGGGCTCGGTGCTGATGATGGGCTCCTCTGTCTCGACGACTGCGAGACCGCCTCGATCGGTGATCTTCGTCGTGTGGTCTCTCCGTCTGGTGATGGCTAGCACGGGAATGGGCGCGATAATGCTCAGCCTCGTCCCTGCTATGCTCCCGGTCCCGGCGAGGTGAATACCGCCGATAAGACTCACGATCCGGACTCTTGTGGTGACCACTTGCTGTTCGAGGGACTTCCGTGTCCTCCTCTTTGCCACGCGACCTTGCGTTCTCCTTTGAAGAGGCGCGACTGTAGTCAGCCTCCTTCTCAGGGGAATGCTCCCGTGACAGGGGACCTTCAAGCTCTTCGCCTCTTCTTTCGGCGTGTCCTGACGACCGCCGGCGAGGGAGATCTTCTCGAGGATCTGCTCGTGCCTTTGGAACTGCCGTCAAGCCTGGGGGCTGCGATTTCTTCTCGGCCGCCTCGGCTTCAGACGGGCCGTCAGTGGCGTCTGTGTACTCGGAGTCCTCAGCCTCTTCCTCCTTGACTGTCCGCAGGGGCGCTGCCGCCTCCCGGGATGCTGGCTCAGCCGGAGGAGGCTTCGAGGCCTCAGGCCGGTCAGGTGCAGGAGGAGGGGCCTCGGCACGAGCTGGCGAAGAGGCCCGAACACGGCCCCCGCCTGCTATGCCCAGGCGTCGCAGCGCTCGCACTTGTCTGGTCGCGCTCACCAACAAGTCCTGGGCCAAGGCACGGGTGCCAGCCTGACCCCAGGCAAGTCGGAGCTCGCCAGACAGTGCCTCAAGCGCAGTGCAGCCTAGGCACCAAGTGTCAGCCAGGTGAGGGTCACCCTGGCCGCACTTATTACACCTCTTACTCATTTACTACCTTGAGCCGTAAAGCTGCCCCCAACACCATAAAAGCTTTCAACTAGCTACCTCATCCAATCAGTCGAAGCGACCATCTTGGTTGCAAACCCAGCTGGTTTTCCCCTGGTTTTCCCATGGTTTTCCCATGATCTGCCGCTGTTCCATGTCGCCTTGCCAGCACTGGAGAGGTCAACGCCAAAGTAAGTCCCCGGCTTTCGTTCCAGACTCACTTCCTGCCGGGGATCTTCTTGGGAGGCTATTGACACTGTCCACCGTGAAAGAAAAGCTGCATCCATCGGTGTGCGATGGAATGTTGGTAGGTTAGGTAGATAGGCAGGTAGGTAGGTACGTAGGCACATAGGTATGTAAGTATGTGTTTTTCTCAAACAACAGGAGAAGGAAAAAGAACATCTGTACATGAATCATCATGAATCATCATGCATCCACATCTGTCTACCAGCTGTGTGTATCCAAGCTGGGCAACTGAACATTTGACCCCATATCGTTTAAGACTGCAACCCTGGTTGATTCTGAATCTTATGATGTTCTTCAAGAAGAAAAGGCCAAGAGTGTTCTTTCGGAAGTTGAACTACCAGCACCGAACCGATTAATTTTTGCTCAGCTGCAAAAGTGTCACCATCTTCTTTGGCCTGGCTAGCACTCTGCAGCTGCAAGGTGTCTAAATGGATGGATGGATGGATGGATGGATGGATGGATGGCTGGCTGGCTGGCTGGGTGGATGGATACCAGTGATAGCAGTGATACTAATGATACGAATGATACAAGAGCACAGTTCTGTCCTGCCTCCTTGGACCCGCCTTTTCCCTCAGGGAAGGCACTATCCGTCTGAAGCTCTACGAACTCAGCAGGCCTCGGCTGGAAGACCAAGGGACCTGCAAATGTTTGAGTATCAACATGTATCAACTGTATCAGCCGTCCATTTTTGGAATGTGCCCAAGTTTGACTCACCATAAGGGTGACAAGCTCAGTTCTGCCGGCAAGGTGCTTTTCATCCACACAGCAGCACAGCATCCTGGCCTAAAGCGTTGAGATGCTGCAAGTTTTAGCTGCCTGCGAGCCAAAATGTGCGTCGTGACCATCAAGCCATGGCACGTTGATCAGAAGGTCATGGGGCCTCAGGCTCAATCCGACCCAACCCAGGATCCAAGATTATGCAAGTTTTCGGCGCAGTGTGTGGTAACGTTCTTCTGGAAAACAAAAGGGGTATTGGTTTGGTACCACCCTGCCATCTACCACCATTCACCTGTTGGTTCTTCAAAGGGAGTGACTCTTGGTTTTTGAAATCAACCAATGAGAAATGGACATTGATATCTACAGCAATCTATGCCGAATCTATGCCCTGCAGCACAGCCCTGCAGCTCCCTGGCGCACGCATCTGAAGGATCGACCGACATCCGTGCCAGGCACTGCAGCCTGGCGGCGGTCGCAAACACCACAGGCGCAGGCGCAGGCCGAAGCACTGGGTGACCCCACGAGGTGGGGAGATTCACCATGTCGAACTGGGCCAAGTGCTGCGCACAGAGTTCAAGCACCTGGGCTGAGTTTTGAGGTGGGTTGAATGACCCTGAGCAATTTCCTGAACATGGTTCCAAGAAAAATCCAGTGGATACGTCTTTTCGCATCCTTCATACCTCATTAAAGCCCTTGATTCAATGCAGGCCGCACTGAGTCAGGCACACTCAAGTAAGCTCCACGAAAGGCCCAAGTTACTTGAGTCAATCAAAACCGCTCGGAACATGAAAGGGAAAACCTCTTGTTTCATCCACATCATCCACTTATAGGTATTCCAAATCCAGCCCCGACCTCTTCAGGCTCATGGCTGGCCAAGATCCTATCCAAACAATGTCAAGCCATCAGGCCATCAGGTTGCAGAGTTACAGTGAGATCCCCTGGATGTTTTGGCAATCCTTACCATTTTAGCAGCTTGGCAACAGCACAGCAAAAGCAATGCACCCGGGACCCGTGGAGTATCAGGCTATTACGCTGTTGTGCCTCAAATCTGGAAATGCGGGTGATATGAGCGAGATCTGAAATTCTGCATTCCAGTCAGTCAAAAAAATCCTTCCAAGTGATCTCAACCGGCTATGTCATCAAAAAGCTCGGGTCTGTTTCCCCACCAGATTTTTTTCGGTGAAATCCATTCTCCAGCCCTAACAATCACAAAATCTCCATGGTCCCCCAGGTTTCGGCCCAAATTTCACCCCAGCTCAACACCTCCGATTCAGCTGCAGGTTGAAGGTCTCCGGCCGCCGCTGAGCGGCTGTCGCCGTCCTGGAGACCCTCAAGGCCGAGGCTCAGAGGGCGAGGAGGGTGCTGGAGCCTGGAGCGGGGGATAAAATCTGCGAAATCCAGTTTGGTGATTTTTCTACACCATACTACACCCTCCCCTGGCTTTCTATGGTTTGACGATGTTTGATTTGGCATTCAGATTCACAGGTTGATTTTCCTCAGTTTGTCCGGTATCTTAGGGTTGGCTGAAGGCTCCTGCGATCGTGTAAGTCTTCATCCCAGCCTCTAACGACCCCAGGCATTGGAACACCGGCATTGGGTGCACCTGACCGACCTGAGTAGAAGCTGTGAAGCACTTGCGAAAGCCGGCTTTGCTTCACCAAACGATTCCGAAAGGCCCGATGTAGTGATGTTGTTTTTTTTCTTCAGAGGCAACTCCGGTTGTGGGACATCCCAATAGATTCGACAGGGTCGTGAAGGATCCAACACTGGTACCATGGTGAACATGTCAAAAATCATCCAAAGAGAGATGTTGACCCACCCATTTTGTGATATTGGGTCTTGACATGTCTTGACATGTCTTGACCCATCCACATCTTGCTATGCACGATTCCTCTGGGCGCCATTTTTGTCTCGTTCGCATTTGCGATGCCAGTTCAGGTTGGTGATGGTTCTTGCACACATCGCACCGCCAGACTCTTTGGAGCGCACTGCAGGAAACGCAGCTGCCGCATCTGGTGGGACAAACGGAACTAGATCACCTCTGACTGGAAAAGGAACAAGGATTTTCAGAGACATACTGTACCATCGTATACTCATGTATACTCTATATTTAGTTGAATCGTTTTTTAAAAGAGTAGATCCACGGAAAGTCTATCAGATCCCAAATCCAGTGGCAGCACAGCTCCAGCCTGGCATGTGCGCCAGGTGAGACTGGGCCTTTGGAGGCCGACTGGGATGCCCACCTCCATGACTCACGGCGCCCAGATCATGGCTGTTCAAGCCGTTGTTTCTGGGTGAACTACCATCTGGTTATTTAACATAGCCATGGAAAATCCCTTATAGATGGAGGTTTGAATGGGAAAATCAACAATTTTCCATGGATTATGTTAAATAACCGGAGGGCATATACTGAACTACACGAGAAGAATCAGAAGAATTCTCTGGCGATGAATTCTACAAGTCGTGAGTCATCCGAGGTTGGGGGCTTCAGAGGCTCGGACGCGACCGTCCGGCGAATTCATGCGGAAGGCCTCAGCAAATCAGTCAAAAGGCTGTCAGAATTCCCTCTTTTTTTCCGATGGTTGATGAGGAGTCCCACCATCTGCAGTGATATAGTGATACAGTACATACCTCCCAAAGGGTGATCGAGCTGCTGGAATCCACACTTCCAGGTCAGTGTGGTCTGTGGAACCATCAGGTTATAACTTAACTTGTAATTCTCAAATTGGTGTCCTTTTAATCACCCCGAATGCAAACCCTAGAGATCATCCTAGTATCTCAAGCATGTGAACATACGGGCCCCACGTCACAAACAGTCAAATACTTCTTCTGCGAGACCAGAATCTCGTGAAAGAATATACTACCTTCATCAATATTGGCCCATATGGCCAATATGAGTCTGGGTCAGACATGACTTCAAAGCTGTGGGTCCTTTAAATTCAGCCTGCCCTCTGCCCCCGGGACTTTAGCTCAGGAACATTTGGCCCAGTTTAAGCTGGCTCCTTGAAGTCATCATCCAAGTCCTCCAACGCTGGTCCTCCGTACTCCTGACCGAAGAACGAAGATCCGTGCTCCATGTTTTTTTCTTCAATGAAAGGCCACAAAAGGCCAAGCTTCTTGGATCTCAACTTCTTCGGGGGTTTACCCAACTTTCTCACTCCAGACAAAAGACAGATTTGTCCGACCTCACCAGCTTCCTCCTTCTGCTTGTTGAATTCTGCCTCAGGGAGCAAGTTGGGGAAACCTCCCAGATCTCCTTGAAACAGGATGGACCCATACAACTAGACCTCTAACTAGGGAAGGGATGGAAACTATCAGTCATTCGTGGCTAAATTCTAACCACATACATTATATATATATATATATTCATTGACATACATGTGGAGCAAAATGAACTGCGTGTACGTGGCAGCCTTGTTTTGGCTGAATCTTGGAGAAGTGAAAACCAGCCCAGGAAGCAAGTGACTTCGACTGCAAGACTTGGCATCAAATTTGGACACCCTTGATATCAATTGATACCCTCGAGGAATCTAAATATACTTCGACAATGGCAACTTGATTCATCACCATTTTAATTCAAGAAGAAAGTAATTTTCCATTGCCATGTCTGATGTTTGATTACTAGAAGGGACATCTTCCGCAAGAGAACCATACCCGTGGCCTTTCGTAGCTCCAGATCTGCATTTCGATATGCACAACCGGCCTGGGCAACTGAGAGCCCAGCGGCGCTACACTACACTGCATTTTTCACTGGATTGGTTGAAGAGAAAATCTACCGGAAACCATGGCTGCCATGGCTTTCCCATCGTATATAGGCGGAGTTTCCTGTACATGTTCCCAGATAGACCGGTGCCTTTTGTTTTTGATTGACTTGGGTGGTACATGTTTGCCGAAGGAAACCGCAAGACAATGAAAAAAGGAGGTTCAACTCTCTTCAAACTTCAAAACACCTATCCCTGCTGAGGAGATGAGCCAGAGCTGCCACCTGGCTTCTTCAGTTGTCACTTCTCATCCCCCTGATCTCACACCCATGCGGCCCTCGGACCTGGACGAGGTTGTAAATCAACTGAAATGCGGGCGAGATGGCCTGCGCAAAAAATGACATGTCCATCCGCCCATTGATTTCCCGGCTACTTGGGCCATGAGAACTCATATGGCTTGCCCATATCTCCAACAGTTTTTCAGCTTCAATCTGAATCTGCTTGCCAGTTTCAAGCCTATGTCACATCAAAGATGCGTTGTGATTTGGGCCCCAGATGGCCCCAGGTATTTCAAAAAATCCTGTGGAAAGCACCAGACCTTGGCTTTCTCTGCGTCCATCTCTGCAGGGGAGGCCAACTGCAGGATGGAGCTATGGAGGTGTTCCGGCGGCACATCCTTCCTGAACAAGGTCCGGAGGGGCGAAGATTAGTCGAAAGTGTCAGGAAAAGGACTCAAGAACTGACAGCCCTTGGACGTCAAATATTTCAAAAAGCTGCTTGTCCCAAAGTTTAGGTCTATGAAATTTCTCCGACATAGGCTGCACAGGGCGCCTTGGACCCTCGACCTCCCTCTTCACCACCTTCTCAAGGAGCACCAAGGGTTGGTATAACAAGGTCTTCAGTTTCTGCCAATCCATGGTGGATTTCCTCCTGAGCGCGGAGCCGGCGGCTTCGAAACCCCTCTTGAGACCTGAGGATTTCCCATATCGGATAGATATGGATAGACCATGATGGGATCAGTGTCCTTGGGTAGATCTCTGCCTTCTTATAGCCAGCAAAGTAGGCCAAGGCCTTGGCGTGCACCAAAAGTGCTGCTGGGTCCGTTTCCTGCGTCAAAATTCCGAGATTCCAGAAATGTCACGGAAAACTCCCACGCCCGATGGTCCAAAAATGTCCAGCCAGTGGCCAAAAATCATCCTTTCAATATGGCTATGGGTCAAAACCCTGGTACCCCTTTTGTTCACAACAAAATAGCTGGTAAATAGCTGTTCATCCCACTAAAAATGGTATTTTCATAGGTATTGATCCATTCCCATATCTTTCAATCTTCCGCAGAAAATCCCACAGAGGCCAGGGAACAGCCACCACACTCATGACGTCACTGGTGGTGTAGACCCAGTTGGTCAAGCCGCCAATCAGCTCGTGCATCTCTTTGGCCACCTCAAGGGGATATCAGTTACGGTGCCCAAAAAAAAACATAAAAGTCGTGTTGATGTTCGCCAACAGCTACAAGGTGGGGCCCCACAGTTATAAGTTGGTTTATAGACCCCATTAACTATAGTTATAAGTACCATAAACCATAGTTATTGGAGTTATAAACCAACTTAGCTATCTTGGGGGCACCACCTTGTATAAATGTCAGATTTATATAACTCGGGGATTGAACTGTGTAATGTCAACTATTTGGCCATAAAAAGGGGAGGTGCTCCTCAAAAAGTGAGAACATGATTCTGAATCTGCTAACGTGTTTCCTGCCGGGCTAACATTGTCACGCCTGCAAGGCTTTGAGGAAGGCAAACTTCTTCTGGATCAGCTCCTGAAATGCGACAGAAAGGATTTTTCATCTCAGGTTTTCCCGGTTTAACCTAAATGATAAATGATGTTCACATGAAAGTTGTGTTGCTTCCCAGCCAGAGGTTTTAGATTGCGGATGATTGCGGCACTTTGACAATGGAAGGTTGTAGTGGACTGTACCCTTTTATACCCAGCTTTTACTCGGGTGATAATCCTGTGTCCACTCAGTCGTTGATTGGCTGCATGGAGCCAGCAGCAAAAAACAAAAAAACGGTGCCCCTGCCTTCTTCAGTTCATCCTCAGCTTCAGCTTGCTCGGCTTCCAGCTGTTCCATGAAACCCTGCTCCACGTGATCAGCACACTCCAGCACCTGGTGCTGGCGTGCAGGTTGGCCCAGTTGGCCAAGTGGTCTCCAAAAAAATTATCTTTGGATGGAACAGAAAATATATGAATGAATGGATATCAATGGGTTGATTTAAGGGAAATCTACCGGAAACCCTGGGACTTCTTACCAAAATATCAGGTTTTCCTGCAAATGTTCCCTTCAACCAATTCTAGGTGTGTAGATAAAGATCCGCGGATGCTCTTGGTTCACAGTTGGGGTTCCTAAGCCTTCTGTTTCTGACCTGTCCTTTCACCGTTTCACCTTGATTTCATCTTAGTTGGATGAGAAATCCAGTGAATAGCTGGATTATCATGGATCATCCCAAATAAATGGGATTCATGAACACAAACGTGGAAGTTCCCTGAAAGATCTGAAAGCTGAATCAGCTTGGATGGGGTGAAACATGTCCACTTGACCAAGGAAAGCCACCAGTGCCTGCTCATCCACTTCAGTGCGTAGGGCATCATCAATGACGATGAGGACCTGATTGTCGACCTGGTGCACAGCGTAACTCGACTGCTGTGTGTGAATGGTTTCGGATCAAGTTTTTTCTGCAGATTCATGGCGTTCATGTGGCTAGAAAAAGAGTAACATACCTGATGTTCCCATGCGTTTTCCTCGAATTAGGTGTCCCCACAAGACCTGACCATGTTGAATCGGCATTCCCATTCTCAAGACTCCATCCCGACCGGCACATGCTTTACCTGTGTATATTGTTATGATTTGTTATGGATGTCCATTCCCTCCTATTTTATCTTCACCTAGGTATCCCTAGGTGTTTTTTCCCGATGTTTTCCACCTGTTTTCGACAAAGTTCTTCCCTATGTAGATGGGATTTTCTCTGAAAATATGGTGTCCACAATTTTGATGCTTTTCTGCATGAAAAAGTCTCCACAAAAAGAGCGATGTTTGTGGTAATCTGATTCCTTAGACACAACCCAAATGGGTTTGTGTGAAAATAGGGTGCCCAAAAATCGCAGAGTTGGTCATGGTGTTTCCCTATTGAAATTGCAATTGCCATTTGGAACTATGCCACTATTGAAATGGCCATTCGATTGCCACTTACCAGTTTTGGATGTGGTATCAACAGTTTTGGCTAACAACCCACCTGTTTGAACTCGGTCTTCGACTTGCACTGCCCGCACGCCTGCAGGCGTTTTCTGCGTCATGGAAAATGTGGAGGTTGAGATGGCAACCCAGCATGTTAATCCCTATCTTCAATGGAAAAAATGGAAAAATGATCTACGAATGGAGGCGTTTCTATTGACATGTCGGATTAGTGGAGGGTTTTTTAAGAGTAAAAATATCAATGTCAACTCAGCAACATGGAGTTAGAACCAATCGAGACATGAGCATCGCACAAAGAAATGCTGGCTTTATGTATCTTTCGGAATATGGCGACATTTCTATACCTCTCTTGGTGGTTGTTGCTACACTGCTACACTTCAAGTACTGGATCCGCAAGGAGCCCGACCAACCACTGGTTCTAGCCTTGACCAGCTCCAGAATCTTCACGGCGTTGGACTCCTCAAAGGCCGTATTGGTACCTGACGTAAGGCATCGCCCCAAGCCATGGGATGTGACGGTGGAAATTAAGGAAGAGAAACTTGCAATCCATCTATACAACCTATCATATCTACCCATATAATACTCTAATCCTATATACAGTAATCGTGTCTCTCTGTCTGTCTGTCTGTCTGTCTGTCTGTCTATCTATCGATCGATCTATCTATCTATCTATCTGTCCCCAAAAAAGGTATCGTGCTATCAAAAATTGAAATTTGATAGCGCTGTTCCCAGGGTTTGGGTCCATATCCACATGGCTATGGGTCAAAAATGTTGTTGGCTGGTCAAATGGTGAATTTTGATACCCACATCCAGATTTGCCTGGAACTTGAACTTCTAGTCTTGGAGAAGGTGAGTTCCTATGCTGCTGCAATTTCTGCATCCAAATACCATGGAATTTCAGGTGATATATGTGATATTCAGCCCTTGCATCGATTTTGGTTGCACCCCAGCCCAGCCCGGGCAACCTGTTGCTGGGGTGCCTAGAGTGTCCAAGCACAAGACCATCTTCACATCGGTGCCCCGCATGACCAGCTGTTTCTCCTGTATGATCTCTGAGTTGATGCGGTGCTCGGGTAAGGGGCGGCCGATGCACCAGAAACTGGAACGAAGATTCCGATATTCTCCAGATTTCCCCACTATCTTCACGCTCTGATTGGCTGTTTAGTCAGTTTGATCATGTTTGGGGGGTCTCTACTGGCTGCCAGGAGGGATTCCCTCCTTCCCTAACCATCCTAACCATTTCTGGGCACCACTTTGCAATGGTTTTTCGACCAAACACAACTGACTCCTCTGGTGGATCACCGGCATCTGGCACGTCTTCCCCTGCATCGATCGCTGCTTGCCGTGCAGCTTCCTCTTCCGCGCGCCTGTGCGAGGGAGAAGACAAGCAACAGAGAGCTTTGATCAACCAAATATTGGGATATAATAAAAACCAACATGGTGAACATATTTGCACAAATGGATAAGAAGTGCCCCCAAGTCATGTGGATGGATTGGAAATCCAAGCGGCACAGGCAAATCCACCAACGTTGGGCAAGCCAAGACACTTGGATGTAAACGAAAAAAACAAGTGCTTACCAACAAAACATGGCTTGTAACCAACGGAAATGATTCAACGGAAGTAAAGAATCCAACCACGAGAGAAGCAGAAGAGCTGACTCTCACATCCAATTCAAATCAACTGGAAACCACAGAAAAAGGTGACGTGACGTGACCCGCAAAATTCATCAAAATTCAGTTATCAACTTCAAGAAGTTGGAGACATTAACATCATTAACCACGTTGGGGACGCATGCCACCTGTCAACATTCAAAGCCCCCTGGACCCGAATCTTAGGATCCAACCTGATAGCGTCTGCCTTCTTCTCCTCCTCAAAAGTCTTGGCGTCTGCATAGGCGTCACCTCGGCATCGTTTCTTTCGGCTTCTCCAATTTTCCGGTGCAAAATCGGGGATCATCAACCCTGATGACTACTGTGACTCCAATCAATCACTTGATCACTGCTTCAGGCCAGAGCACCGTTGTAGTAGGATTGGTACACCAAAGGAATGGCCAGGAAAGCGCCCAGGCGGGTCATATCAAAGTAGTGCATCTTGTCCACGTCAGTGACCTGAACGGCACGGCCGTTTATTGTTGGGCCTTGCTGTGGATCATCCTAGAAGTATCATACGACCCAATTGCAATTCTTGTACTATTTGGGTCAAAATTGTGGGTCTCCAAAAGTGATTGATAGTCTATGATAGTCCACGCATATTTGAAAGGGTGGCTTGGGTGCCTGTTGTTCCTGGGCGAGACATGCCATCTTGCACCCTAGGGAAACCCTCCCAGATTTCTACAGAAAGATGAAAGGTTCTTAGTTGCAGAATCTCAGCTCACGGGGCTCACAAGTACCAATCTTTACCACGCAGCAACTTCATCCTAACCCTCTTCCCAACTCCAAATATATACATATAAAATCATATATATATATACATACGTATGTGTGCGTGTATGTATGTATGTATGTATGTATGTATGTATGTATGTATGTATGTATGTGTATGTATGTATGTATGTATGTATGTATGTATGTATGTATGTATGTATGTATGTATGTATGTATGTATGTATGTATGTATGTATGTATGTATGTAATTTGATTTGATTTAATTTGATTTGATTTGATTTGATTCAATTTGATTTATATAATTTCATGTATATAATTAGTGACACAAATCCTCGAAGAAAGCGGCTGAGCACTGCAGCGAAGCCCAGAAATTGGGCCACCCCACACACTCAACGCTGACAGGGTAGTACGGGCTACTTGGCTTTTGCTCGGGGGGCTCGGCACCTGGCCACGAGGCACTCTTGGATGTCCTCGTGAATTCACGAAAAAAACCCACATCGGTCCACTAAAACTATCCATTTTCCATGGAGAGAAAAGCTAATCAACTTGGGGTCCCTTGGGGTCCCTTGGGTTCCCTTCCCCCTTTTCGACCACATCCATCTTGTTCTTTTTTCTCAGGGCAAGCGCTGGGAACGACTGCCACCAGCTGCAGTTGGCACCCAGGGGTTCTGAAACCGATGGGGCAATGGTGCGGGTCCATCAAAAATGTGTTCTCTGCTTTGTGCCTACTGCCCAACACACACACACACACACACACACACTTTCGTCCAGATATTGATTCTACGCTCGAAGTTTCTGCATGTATTTGGGCAGCACGGAGCCCCGGAACATCTCGGCCCGAAACTTGTTGGCTACGGCTTCTCTCAGCTCGTCATCGGTGATGGCCCGGCAGCAAGCGGCCTTCCTGGAGATCTTGGAGAAAAATGCTGCTGCTATTGGGGGCCCATCCGGGTATGTCTGAAAATGGGGTATACCCCCAATTATAGCCATTTAGTAGGGATAATGATCATTAACCATTGGGTGTAGGGGTACACTATTTTCAGACAAACCCATCCTTGAAGATAGGAAAGCTCCTACTGATTCAACGGTGGTCCGAGAAGCAAACCTCTGATTGCTGCGCCGTCAATGAAATCCCTATTGACGTTTGGCAACGGGCCCATCATTGCACGGGAAAGACACGGGAACGGAAAATGGTTTGGATGATCTGATGGCACAACATGTTTCTCGGATGTTGTTGATAGGATGAACGGTCGAGTAGCCATTAAGAGAAAAGGAAAGCGGTCTTCAAAAACGATGGTTCCAACAAGACCACAAGAGAAGCCTGGCCCCAAAGCGAAATGAGAAAACCGAGGTTCTCATCGTCAGAGACCTTGATGCCAGCATAGGTTGCCAGCAAGCTCTTGGTGACCGCTTCTGTCGCTAAATCCGCTGCGATACCACCAGATAAGGATTTCCTCAGGTTGCCCGTCTCAGGACGGGGTCTCCCGCAGCACAGTCCATTAAGGATAAAGTGCTTGTCTTGGGGCCCCTGTAGCTCTATAGCGCCCATTGTCATTGATTCTCCCCCCAAAACTCCAAGTCTCTGCTGTGGATCTGCCCGGTGAACCAGCAACGCAGCGACCACGTTCACCGAACCAGCCGAGGCCGCTTCAAAAAGAGGGGTCTCACCCAACTCATCACCTGGGAAGGACCATGGATGTTTTGGGAAGGGCAATGTTTGAAAAGTCTTAATCCACCTCAATTCTGCCACGTCATCCATAGCAAAAAGAGTATGACATGCGAGATTGTGTGAGCACAGAAGCGACTTCCCAGCTTCCATCTTTGCCCAAATCTTGGCCACTCGGCCAGTCAGTGTTGAAGAAACTCCTCCGGCCACCCAGCGCCAGCTCAGTAAATCCTGAGCCTCTGACCGACATTTGGGTTGCATCCACCCTCCAGCAGCCTTAGGACCTCATCCACATCACCGTTGCGCGCGGCGCAGGCGAGTGGATCTTGATTGAGATCCTGGGGGTCACATCAGCCACAGAAGCAGTCACCCAAAGGCATGGGAAGAAGAAACATGAAGAAAATGGAGAAACCCTTCGACATGGTGAGGAACATGAAAATCAAGCCATGGCAGCCATGGCAGCCATGGCACCTTGGCCGCCAGCGCGTCTCGCGCCGCCTTCACCTCGGGCGGCAACGGCGGCAGCGGCCGGCGCCGCCCCGTGCCGGAGCTGCCGTCGTCGTCGCCATCGATGGGGCGCAGGCCTCGGCGGTTCGCGGCGCGCTCGGAGATCTCCAGACGCATGGCATCCACTGTGGCGTCGCTGAGGCGAAGAAGCAACTGGTCGCTGGAGTGAGGGTCTAACTCCTGGGCCGGATCAATGTTCTGAGGACGGGAAAACGAATCAACCAATAAATTGAAAGACACTCTGGTAAAGTGACATGTCTGACATGTCACTGCGGAAATCACACAGGTGAAGAAGAAAACAGGAGTGGAAGTTGTTTTCAGCCTGCAAGATTTCCTTTGAAACAATCGATAACCAAAATATTGCTCTGCCAAGCTCAAGACACCTGCCCCGCAAAGAAGTTCAGCAAGCTCCTTATTGGCTCAGACGATGCCACATCCCATGGTGTGCGTCCATGGATGGACCGGGTGAGCGGCTCAGCATTGCACAACAACAGAGTGGCCACCACATCCACAGAGCCATGAGATGCTGCAGTAAACAGCGGAGTTTCTCCCTGTCTGTCGTACTCATTGGGCTCGGCCCTGCCATTGAGCAGCTTGGTCACGCAACCCAAATCTCCCGCTTCCACGGCTTCCAGTAATGGTGACTTGGGACCTGCAACCGCCAATTGCGCTGGGGCTCGTGGAGGGCCGGCCACCTCTCGCGTTTTGGCAGGGTGACTGTTGGTTTCAGCTGGCTTCATGGGATTCACCTTCGAGCCATTCATTGATTTTGGCATGGATTTCGGCACCTCAACCCGTGACACAGCTTTGGACTCTGGTGGTTTCACAGCTGATGGCTTTGTATTTGATGTATTTGGTACTGCCACTTTTGGGCTTGGCACCGCCGGTTTCTTCGCCTGAGACGGGTTGGGTTGGACCATGGCCGAAACCGGTGGCATCGGGGGCGGGCTTGGAACCGGCGCTGGAACCACGGCTCGCGGGGCTGATGGGGCACTGGCCCTGGATGAAAGGAGATCCATCAGCATCTGGGTGACCTGGGGTCGAAGCAAAGGATCGATCGAGTTCACCACCTGCGGCAGTTCTCCTGAATTGGATCACGGGGTTCCAGATTGCATCCCGCTAGGATTCAGACACGTTCAATCAGATTGACTAGGGTTTATTAATAACACCTTCGAATATTTTACCATTGGCTTTAACTTCAACTGCCCTCAACTTGGGTCAAACAAACATCTTGAACCTTCGCGCGCTCTACCAAGTTCGAGCCGTCTGCGCTCTGTGCGAATGCTTGGGAGCTTCAAGTGCACGGGAACCAAACCTGTATCAAAAACAGGATATGGAAACTCATGATGTTTCACCCATCTACATCACACCTGTTGCATTGGCATCTGTGGCATCTGTTCATGCTTGTATTTGTTACTCTAAACATCTGCTGTAAATGGAAGTAGCAGTTGGGTTTTCCATTGCAAAAACCTCGATGACCCTTTGGGGTACCATATGGGTATCCAAGCCAGCTCCCCAACTGTGTTTGTTTGCAGGTGCCAACAGTTCCAATTCACCGCTTGTGAAACCTCAATTTCAATCCCATAGCGCAATCATTCATCAAACAACTTCAGTCATTGCTTGTCTGCTACTGAATGGGTGTTCATCCCCGCCATTCCCATAGGTCCCAGGCACACCCATCCCCAGATCTCACCAGGAAACCGACTAGTGACTAAAATCCTTGGAAATGTCTCATCCATGACTTATAATTCTTTTTCAAAATGCCGAGTGGCCCTACTCAAATCTTAGAAAAAAGTCCGTGACTCTCGCTCTACCAAAAAACGCAAACTACATGAACTACATCCACATCGCCATCTCCATCCATCTCCATCCATGTCCTGCTTCTGGAGCTCGTCCCTGAAACAACTCCAGCAGCCTCCGCACCTCCGGCGCCGTCCCCGTCACGTCGGCCACGGCGCTGTCGGCGCTGGCCCCGTGCAGCAGCAGCGCGGCGCAGACGTCCACGCTGCCGGAGCCCAGAGCGGCCTGCAGGCAGCGCGGAGCTCCAGGATCACCTTGAGTGGGATCGATTTTTCCATGGGAAAAACATGGGAAAACCATGATGTGGGGCCCTCAAGATAGCGTTCAGTTGGTTTATAACTCTAATAACTAGGACTTATGGTAGATATATCTATAGTTAATGGGCTTATAAACCATAGATCAATGGGAGATCTCCAGGATCCAATTGATGGAGGTACGTTAGTACCATATTAGGTTCCTGAAATGGCCATTGATGATATGATGGTTTAGAAAATCTATGATGAATGTTGTAAACCATGATAGTCGTTTTAAAAATGGGGGCATTTACAGTCATGGAAAACCGTGATATAAATGATAAGCATCATAGTTAATCATGAAACCACATTTGGATATAATGGTCACAAAGGTACTTATGGGTCATTTAATCATTGACCATCATTGTAATATATGAGCATGTGACTATAAGATATTTTTAGGCAAGGATATAATATATGACAAAAATGTGAGAAATAGAAATATGATCTATTTGTAATATGTGGGGGCATTTCATCATACAAATGTTATGGGTATAATATGTATATATATACATATCCGTGTGTGTGTGGATAACCATTTCGTACTACATGGATGACTAGGTTATATATATTTATATATACATACATATGTACACCCAAAAATATGGAATAACCATTTCGTACTACATGGATGACTAGGTTATATATATTTATATATACATACATATGTACACCCAAAAATATGGAAAAATAAAATCCTGCTGAACTATTGGCATTTTGCTTTTCGATCTTTCCGGGGAGGTACTTTAAACTTTAAATTTGAGAAATGTGCCATGGATGGGATGGGGATGGGAGTTGAAGATTGGATCTCTGGAAACTGGCAAAATCTTAGACCATTAGACCATCAACATCCATCAACAATATGGTGATAACGAGGGATGAGGTGGATCTTTGAACTTTGATTCCAATGCCTGAATGTACCGGTCCCAAGTTTCAAGGTTCTTTTCCTTTTTGGAGTTTGCATACGCTGTGCACTGCCAGCACCACACAACACAAACATCGCCTTGAGTCTCATTTCAAAATGCTGCCCACTGCCCTGAACCAGTGCCAAAGGGCTGGCATTCGGATCCACTCCCATCTGAAGCAGTCGTATCACAGACATCAAACTGCCAGATCGCGCCGCCTTCAGCAGTTGTCCCTCTGGTGTTGCAGGGGTAGCAGCTGCTTTCTTCCTAAGGCGTGTAGAGGATTCACTGATCCCAACCGACATCACCAAGCCAGCAACCTTGCAACCAAGACGCTTCACACTGGCAGCCGGACGCTTGGCCCCGTTCGCATATCCTGTGGCATCTGGCTGGCCTGCCAAGGCGCCAAGGGCACGAAACAAATGACAAGACTTCAGCACAAGATCAGCTGATTCAGTGCCGAACGCCTGGCTTTCTACAGCTCCTGGCGTGCCTGTACAATGAACGCCTTCCAAACAAAATCTGGAGCTTCTGGACAATACAGCTGCGGGTAAGTTCGTGCCGAATCCCTCTTCGAAGTCGGGAAAACAAGGAAACAACTCTATCACACCAGACAATGACAGTAGATGTTCTCCGGCATACCTCCAGAAGATTAGGGCACCTGGTAGTTATCCACTTTGACTTTTCTTCCCTGGGTCAAACCGCCCCCGGCATCCCTGCAGCCGGGCGCTAGGCCTTGGCGTTCACTGCGGCGCCGTGCCGCACGCTCGGCAGGCGTCTCCTCCCTAGGCTTGGCAGCTTCCACCTGGAGGATCAGCGCATTGAACAACTGCTGGGTGCAGTTCACTTGGTTAATTTCTGGGATGGCCTGAAAAATGTGGTCCCAAAGATGATATTTTTCTCTTGTTATGGCAATTTTGGTGGGTTCCATGTGAAATTCAACGAGTGAAACATTGTAGGACACTATGTGTTGAGGAGAGAAAAGAGTGAAGACTAGACCCTGTTGGCTTAGTGTCCCGGAAAATTCCCTCCAAAGGTATCGGAAGAGGCTGATAGAAAGAGATACAAATGTATTTAGTGTAAATTTCTGGCCCAGTTTTGCCCCATAACCATTCCCCATGTCCAGCACCTCGGCCTCAACTTCCAAGGCTGCCTTGTTGGGCCCACCCAAATTCTCCGGCACTTCGTCCCAGTCGAACATGGCCGCGATGGTCAAACCCCAAGAGTGGAGCAATGGTGTTGCGGAGCATTGGTTGAAGAAGCACATAGCAGAACCACATTTTCATATATTCGATGTATATACATATATATATAATATAATATAATATAATATATATATGTGTGTATATGCTATATAATATATACATACATGTCCTCTTAGAGGTGAATTGTTTGGGGCTCAGGGGCCAACAATTTCATATGGGGCAAGTAATTGACAGCCTGTTCGCTCGAGTTGTATGTATCTAGTATCTAGTACTGCAAATGAATGCACTCAATGGCATTGGAACCTGCAGTGACACACTTCTTTGGCTCAAGCATGCATGTGCTCACTCAAGGCAACCTATATACTTTGGTTGTCATAACAATCATGTCACCACATCTTCCTGCTGCTTTCGGCAGGCCGCCTCACCCATGCCTGCAACTGTGAGCCAAAAGTGGCCGACGGTGGAGATGTCTGAGGCCCCATGAGCCACATCAATCCTTGAGGTTGATGTCCATTTTTTGGGGTGCTGGCCCTGCTGGCTATCTGAGACATCCTCTGCATCCTCCAACCACCGGCTGCTGGCACCCTCTTCCACTTCCACCACCGGCTCGACGCTGGGAGGTTTCCACAAACACATCTCCTGCGGAGGCTGCTCTGCATGATCTGCGTGGCATTTTTGGGGGCAGCCAGATTTTGTTCCAATGCAACTTCCCTAATGACTATCACATTGAATCGGTTGCCCTGGGAGTTCCCCATTGTTTCGAACACGTCTTCCGGTCTTGCCCGTCGTGCCACCATGTGTCCTGGAAATTCTCTTCTGCTGGATTCTCCGTCAATGCCCCCCACGTGACACCTGCCACGCCAATATTTTTCTCCGGGAACAGGATGTTTGAAACAGGTGGCCACGAGTCTCAACACAAGCTGCTCATGCTGACATGGCATCTACATTTGAATATACCTCTGCACAGCAGGCAGCCAAACAATCCTCTGTGGAGGTCATCGACACCGGAACAAAACAGACACCAACAAGGCCTTGGCTTGTCCCCAGAAAAAGTTGACGCTTCATCCGTATCGTTGCCCTTTTGGGATTGTCACTTGGAATCCTGCGACCGGCCACCGGCCACGCATTGTGGGGGCCTTTTCCCTCGGGCAAAACCTTTTCAGTCAGCCACTCCGAGCCCTTGGTGGCGTACTCATAACCTCAGAAAATCCGCAGATGGGCATCTCTCAGCAGATTTCCGTGGTGATTTTGGGGGCAAACCTGGCAAACCTCCAGGGTTTTTTCCATGTTTCTGCCATCAAATTTCTGGCGGCTTCTTTACAACATGTTCCCTCAAACTAATTCCTGGAATCTCAGGCATCAGCAACGACATGCCACATAAATCACAGGATGGACATGGATGGACTGAACACGTTTCAGGATCTGAGACGAGCCATGGCAGCCATGATGTTGATCCGTGGCCAGCGGATTGCCGGTTGGCGACAGGTTCCGCCACGGAGCAAATACATCGGTACAACTCTTTCAACCATCAACTATCCGTACCTATCCGTCAGTCATCTGAATCAGAGTCGATCAAAGACCCACGAAAAAATATGAATGATTTACCCATTGAACATGGTGGGCTTTAGAACTTGCCCCATGAGCTTGCCCAGCGGCTCAGGTGAGGCCCAGAGATCTCGCTGCCCTGCGGCATCACGGGGTCAGTGCTCAAAAAACCAAACTGAAACTGACCTTGAACACTCAAAACCACAAACGTACAAAGGTTGGCGGGTTTGTGGATGTTTTGATGTTTGTGGGCTCCACGGCCCCATTTCCGACTTCAACATACAACACCAGGGCGGCCCATGGACCTCTTCCCCTGGCTCCATGACACCAATGTACACCGCCGATGCGCCAGCGGTGGCTTGCGCCACATCCACAAGCTCTTGCCAGAACTTGTCCTGTGAGACCAGGTGGGGGGACCCAAAAAAACCTTGTCTTTTCTAAGCTTCTTGGACAGTTTGCCGTACCACGGTTACTGTATTCGGGGGCACGGATATTCATAGTTGGTGTGTGTAAGGGATCAGAACAAAACAATGGTGCCATACCTCCAAGGGGCTTGTTGGTGATAATATAATCCTTCAGTAGAGCTGAACTGTGAGCACTTTGTCAGGTGACGTTTGATCTGAACCGGGGTCTGTTGGAAAAAAATGGAGAAAAAAAACAATTTGATGACAAAATGTTCTCCTCAAAGACGGTCTCTTCGTCATTGAACTTCTCCAAAAGGCTGCTGTACATCGTCTCCAATTTTTGAGTCTCAGCCAGCTTCTTCTGCCTCCGGTTGGTCGAAGGTCTGCCACAAATCCCGCAGCAAAGGAGGGGTCAACGGGACACCAACATGTTCGGGTTGAAACACCAAATTGTTGGGTCCATGACAACCATCCATTGAATCCATTGGTTCATGTCCTCCTCGGGCGAGCTAACACAACATGATTCACAAAAGGCACCTGCCTTGCTGCCTCCTTTTCCTCGCGCTTCTCCCTGTGAATGGCACTCACCAGGGGGATAGAACAGTTGCATGTGAGCTATATGATGTTCACTGAATTTACAGGCAATCATTTTAGGCAATCATGGTGTGTATACATGCACATGTACATATATATATTTATATATATATATACATATACTGTGTATATATATATAATATGTATCTGTGTGTGTGTGTCGGTGGGTTTGTTTCTCTATCTTCTTTGTTCATTTGATGTTAGTCCCGAACGTTGAACACCAAGGCATCGCCCCTTGCCATGTCGGCCGTTGAACGGTCTTGGGATGCTCTGTTTTTGCTCAGAATGGATGGTGACTTATCAGATATCATGGCTGATGAAGATATTATCTTGGAATATCATGGCTTTAAAAAAAGTTTCAGATGTTGGACCTATCAATGGTTGTGACTCTAGCTGCACCTCGTCTGAGCTCGCATCTTGGCCAAGTCTTGCTCAACTTGTTCTTTGACAGCCTTGGCCTCAAGGCTTCAACGATTGCTATTTTAACTGCTGCATCCTGCTGCATCCTTGAAAATGATCTCCACCAAAGAACAAACCCCAGTAACTTAGCAACTCCACTGCTACCACTCAACTTAGTGCTTTGAAAGTGCACAGTGACAGACCTCTTCCTGCTCCGCATACTGTGCCAGCCATTTGGACAAGAAGTCAACTCCGTCCTGCTGGCATCGCTGACATGGCATTGATCCACTACTGCATCAATTGCAATTGAACGTATTGAACTGGTCAGGGGAAACTGGGAAACTGTTACCACAGGAACGAAAAACGGCCCTGTAATGCGCCCACCAGGTCACAACAAATATGGACTGCGGATTTTGTGAATCCTCTTCTCACACCTTTTCATGCTTCGCAAGATGCAGTCGCAAGGGTGAAACTCTACAAGTCTGCAAGCTCACCCATTTAGTGAGCTGGTGGTGTATTCCGAAGCCTTGTAACTTGGCCCTTCCCAACTTCCCAACATTCTTCAGGCACTGGCCACACATGTTTCAAGCTATGCTTTAAACCAAGTTGCCCCTTAGGCCCCTTGGGCCAAGTTCCAACGCCTTTATGCAACGAGGCGTTGCACTCAGCCTTTTTGACCCAAGCCCTGCTGGAGCAGGTGAAGCGACACCAAGTAGTTCGCATACTCGTGCCTTACACATGGGCTCGTGGTTGGATTCAACTGCTGAATCGGAGCCGAAAAAAAATAGAGGTCATTTGTAAACCAACCATCATTGGGATATTTAAGGCTCACTGCGCTGGTGAATGAGAGACGAGTCTCACTTTACTTTGGATTAACGGTTATATATTAAGTTTTAGGCCAGGGCACCTCATGCTGAGGGTCTTTGTATCAATCCTTCACTCATAGCTATAGTATAGGAACCCAAAATTGAAAACTGAAAAAAAAAAACGGTTTGCCACCAATTTCAATAAAACCATCTACAAGCATCTAGAACCATCTAAAACTCTGAAACCATCCAAAACCGATCATTTTGGGCAGGACGCGACCTGGCAATTGGGCAAGTTCCACGTCACTGATGCCAAGAGACGGATCTGAACGCAGGACCTCCTTTCGCCGGATCTCCAAGCGTTTCTTGGCAGCTTGTGCCTGACATGGGGAGAATTTAAAGGACCAAGCATGACAAGGACCCGCGTCACTCTGATTGCCCTGGACAGTGCGAATCATCCAACTTTGGATGCCAAACTTGACTTCTCCCCTTGCCATGGAAAGTGGGCATTTGCACTTGCCACATGACCTGAATGCTGGCCAAACTTCAGCCCCCAATGATGGAAGAAATGTGCGTACAGGCTTCCACATCACAAATACTTTGAAGAGCGGGCGGCTGCATGATATACTCCTATTATTTGTGTTTAGTGTTTACTATTGCTATTAGTGTTCTTACTACTGTTGCTATCAGATTACCATGATTACTACTCTTATTACTCTACTATTATGTGATGTTGGTTTAACATGAATATAAATGTACATGGAAAGTTGTATATATATATATCATATATATATAATATATACAGTGTGTATATATATATATATACGTTTATATCTCCTATGGAAATCCATGGGTATGTCGTCTGCCTGGATGGTCCTCTGCCGCTCTTGCTTCTTCACTTCTTTGTCAAGGTCATCCTTAGTCGTCGGTGCTCCATGTGCTACACCGAAATTGATGGTTTATTGTCGATGTCCATGGTGATGATGAATAATAGTGAATAATTTAATGAATAATTGCCATTGATGGTACACCTAAGTTTGGAATTCAATAGGATGATAATGGGATAGTTTTTTTGTGGGGATCCATCTCTGATGATTCTTGATCATGAATGGGACCTAATTGGATGACGCTAGGTTTTAATGATGGTTTAATGATTTCTTTAATGGGATGATTGTGGGATGATACCCTCCAGTGTCACCAAACATGAATTGCTGGCGAATCCCCGAACCAAATTCATCTATATTTGCTATATACAAACAGGGGTTTTTTGCATTGCTATGTTTGATTTCTGAAATGTTAACCCCAGCACTCCTTGGATTTTCCATGATTATCATCCACTTGGATGCACATTCTCAAGCGACTTAGCCAGGTCACATACTCTTTCGCAAGGGCTTCGCACCGGTCTCGTGCTTGCTTGGCACGCTCTGCCAACATGGCATGCTTGACATCCATCTTCTTGGCGCGTTGCTCCGCAGTGGTCATGTGCATGCCTCAAATACCCGCGCTGTGCCACAGGAGAAATTCATGGTAACCCAAATGGGCCCTTGAATCGAGGTAGTGTATATATTGTATGAAATGGAGCTCGCTTTTCCACCCCTTGTCTCTCTGTAAATTGTTGTGACGGGATGTAGGAATGTCATGTGTACAATTATTCAAACAATAACTATTAATAATGACAATAATAGTGATAACAATAATGATAATAGTAATAATAATGCTAATATGTAATAATAACAATAATAATAATGTGTGTGTCTGCATATTAGATGTATGAATCCATGTAAATGCTCATGTCACATGCGCATCCACCTACATCTTCATCTAGCTACCTCTAGCTACCTATCTACCCTCGGGACTAGATGGGGTGCCACAAGTGCTGTGTCCGCACTTGATCCCAAGTGTCTGGTGGCACGCACCAAGTTCACTGAGGAATATTTCCGCGCACGGAGGAAGTTTTCCACCAGTGGGGAGTACTGCAACTTGCGCCGCGGCCGCCGGTTCCATTGGCCCATCCATGCAGACCTGGTGCAGGCCCTTTTTTCGGCGACGGCGAGCCAGTGTCATAAACAACTTCCCACACCTTCGTAAAATACACCAACATCTTCAGTATGTGGATCTCAGTCCATGAAAGATCAACTAGGTGTTTTCTTGAAGTGTGGCTTTTCCTTCAAGAAAGCTCAACTGGTTGATGGCTCCAAAACATCCCCAAAAGGTACTTGTGAGTCTTTGGGGGGTTGTAATGTATCACAATCTCAACATGGTTGAAAAGAATGAAACCATCAGCCAGTAGATTTTCCCATGGCACAGGCCCCCACTGCCCTCAAATCAGGCCACTTCTCAGCCAGGGAATCAGCACTCAGCTGACCAAGCAAAGGTTGGGAAGCGTTCCCACGCCTCGGGGCCGTTTTGGGGTCAAGTTTGGGAAAAAACAATTGGTTGTCATAATTTCCTAATGAAAAGATGGAATTGTGGAATATCCCCCATTTTTGACACAAACCCACAAGGGTCTGGATGGAATTATGTGGAAAAGATTACGTTCTCAGAAGGCTATCTGCTCGTGGGATTTGGCATTATGACTTTGGCTTGAGTCTTCTGCAAGAGCTCAGCTGGGAGGATTTGTGTCTGTTCGAAGGGGAGCACAAATCAAGTGCCTACGAGACAAAGAGAAAGTGACAAAGTTTATTGCTGGCTTCCCAAACTATGTATATGAATACATTCTATATCTCTCTCGCTCCCTCTCTCTCTCGCCTTCCTTCTATGTGCAATATGTATCCAAACATGTTCTCTAATACCGGTACAGTAGCACCTTTGTTGCCAATAAAACTTATAGTAAGCTTTAAAAAGATAGATCAAATAGTGTTTTCACCACTATTCTAGGAGGATTTTGCTTATCAAATCTCTCTTTTTGGTGAGTTGCTATAGGATACCCTTCCCCCTCTTCTCCCCTGCGACACAGCCACAACGTCACGGCATTTGTCTCCACATTGCGTTGGGTCTGCGAAGGCGCGGCCTGTAGCACCTGAGCGATGGCCAACGATTCTTGACTTCCGAAACTCGCACCCCAGGTGCCAGTCAGTAGCAATAAATATATCATAAAGTCGGAAGTCCTAAATTGGAATAGTTCCCAATAGTTCCCTTTCTTGCCTCCCAATGATGGTTATACAGTTATACAAATCCTATCTAACCAACGGATGTCCAGCCCCTACGGTGTCAACATAAGTTCAATGCCAAGCTACATCGCCACCTCCCAGGTTCAACTTCCAGTGGGACGTGTCTACGAACTCTGGACAAATTCCAGAGGTCCAAAAGGAGATTCGGATCACCAGATCCTGGGCATTTCCCATTTCCCCCAGTTTCAGATGACACTATGTCAATGGATTGGTTTAAGGGAAAATCTACAGGAAACCATAGATTTTCCCATTCAATATGGGGCTTTCCTATAAATTTTCCCTTGAACCAATCATCCATTGACTATGCAAAGGATCACGTCAAAGGATGGTCGCATCAAAATCATCAAATGCGGTGGGCCAATGCTGAAAAACACCATTCAAAACCATGATTTCAGTGGTCATGACGAAAAGGAACCGAAACAAATTGGAGGTACCTACCATTTTTTGAGGCCTAGGATCCTGAAATTCCCATTGAATATTCAACCTCTCCTAGCACCTCAGTCGCCCCAGTCCTTCCGGAACTTCTCGGTGAAGTCGATGCGGGACTTGGGATAAGCCAGAAACATGGCGTACAGCACTGCCTGCGCCACGGCATCAGCATAGCAACGGAAGAAGAAGTCCTGCAGACAGGCCGGCGGCTTTGCCCCACAATGGGGTTTTTGCATGTTTTTGCCATCAATTTTATGGCAATTTTATTGGGAAAATGATGACAATATGATATAATATGATGATATTCCATGATATTCCATTGGAATTGGGAGTGCCAATTCAAGGCTCATGGGGACACCACTTTCCTGGCAGTTCACACCCGAGATTTTTGCAACTCATGTCCTTCCGCAAGGGGTTCAAGGAGCTAAAGAGACCCACAAAGTTCGCAGAGATTCGGTCGAACAAGCGAGTTTCGACCTCCAGATGCTTGCCAGGTTTGAAGTACCAACAAATACCTGGGACAGGGCGATCCAGCAACGACCCCGAAATTGCTTCCCACACCTCAACCTTTGCTTACGCTCCAAAAAAAACGGCACTCTTGGATTGGGCAAGATGCAGAACCAGAAGGTGTCCTGGATCACTGCTCTGGAACATTGGGACTTGAAGTCCTTGAACCACAAATTGCGCGCCTGCTCTGACCATCCCTTGAAGTCCAAGTTTTGAGCCTCAGCACGTGGAAGAAAAGGGGTAATGGGTCATCTTGCATTGACCCTTTTAACCCTTTTCTTCAGGTGCCTTATATGATATAAATGCTAGGGAACACCAAGCCTCATAAGGATGAAACACTGAAGTTTGGAGCTCAGGTGCTATGTTGCTCATGATTTTGTCCATTGGAATGGATGCCGGCAGTGGCGCTGGCGACGCTAGGCCTCCCCCATAGCATTCGTTGGGCAGCTCCGCAAACTCCACGTTGTACACGTTCACCGTGGGAAGCGAGACCTCCAAGGTACCACCATTGGATCATGACATGGGGCGCCACCCTTTCCAAGGTACCCCACCCATTCCAGTAAGAGGATCCCAAGCCCAAAGGGACTCTGTCAGGTGTTTCCTGGATTCTCAAATTTCTAAGAGGTCATAGAGAAAATAATGTTGAACCACGAGTTTGGTTGTGCCATGTTTCCCTAAATGTAGTTCCTCATTGGTTTTGACCCTCCGAGCTTTCTTGACTCACCCCTGCCATCAAGCAGCGGCGCGGGGCCGCGAAGAAGTGGACGGGGTGTGCTCCAAAAGCTCCTCCTCTGCAGTTGATTGGGCCTCAGCATAGCGGCTGGATCTCCAAAATTGGACACCTGACCCTCACCATCTCTTGATACGCGTTTGTCTGAAAATGGGGTACTCCAAGAATCCCGTAGTTATTATCACTTTTTTCTATTAAACAGCCACAATTGGTGGCATACCCCTTCATCAGACACACCCATATCTATTGCATATTTTTTACTTGTTATATACTTAGTCGCCCCTTCATCAATTACACCCCGAACAAAAATCCAAACAAAATGTACTTCCCTCAAATATGGAACCCACGCAAGTGGCTGGCTTGTGGCTCACAAACTTGCAATGTCATCCGCAGATTAATAAACCACCATTTTTATCAATAGAGAACCCCCAGAATAATCCAAAATACTGATATATAATTTCCACTTTAAATGGAAACAATACTTGTCAAAAAAAATAGTAAATTAGTACTCGAACATCAAAAAAAACAAGGACACTCCAGCACTCCCCATCTCAAACACTCAATGTGAATGAATGACGGCTGGCAGCAAAAAAGATGCAAAACCAAAAAACTGAAAGCTCGTTTAACCCCAGTTATATAAGTAGTTGAAACAAAAAAAAAAAACGTGTACTGAACCGGGCAAAATCAAGAATCCACCTCTGTGATGAAGCCCACCTTGGAACTGGCCGTACTTTCCATGGCTTGGAATAGGACGTTTGATCTGTGTTTTTTTGGTTATGTCATGAAGCTTAACGATGTTTCTCATCATTTTTTGCTCGCATCATTTTCTTCCTGGCTCGAAACCATGGTGCGGTTTCTGGCCACTGTTTGCCCGCAAACTTGATGGCGAACAGTGCTAACATGTTGACTTACATCAAGGGCCAAGTATAAAACGCTCAAGCCGAGATGTCATTTGCGGCATGTCCAACCACCGGAAGTGCCTGTAGATACTGCAGTCAGTGGATATATGGTCTTTCGATTAGGGGCGAAGCATGGGCCAACGACCAAGGAAGATTCATAATCATCATTTTGGAAAAGAAGATCAAAAACCAACAAGAACCATCATGTTGGAAAAAAAATCAGAAGTTGAATGACAATGACCATGATTCTCTCCGGGTAAACTAACATAGCTATTGAAAATGGCCATTGAAATAGTGAGTTTTCCCATTAAAAATGGTGATGTTCCTTAGTTTTGTGTACGTTTACCAGAGGGTAAAGCTCCATTTTCCTATGGTTTTCCTTTGGTTTTCCCATTAAAACCTCCGTTTTCCCATGGTTTTCCCATGGTTTTCCCATGGTTTTCCTATGGTTGGTGAAACGGTGCCATGTTTGGTGACCATCCTCCACCCATCAAGGCCCAAGGCGTCCTTCGGTTGCACCTTCGCCATCTCGGCCAGCGCTTTGGCTAAGACGCCACCCACATTGTCCTCCAAATACTTGGCGGCTCCCGCATCCATTCCTCGGGATGGATACCCGGCCTGGTAAACATACAAAAAACCATAGGAAAACCATAGGAAAACCATAGGAAAATGGAGGTTTACCCTCTAGTAAACTAACATAACTATGGAAAGATTCACCATTTTTCATGGGAAAACTCACTATTTCAATGGCCATTTTGAAAATAGCTATGTTAGTTTACCAGAGGGTAAAGACATCAAAAAAAACAGCTGGGGTCGGGAAAAGTAAGGGCTGGGTCTAAGAAATGCCGGGGAGTTCATGATTAACCCCCGAGTTATGGCCATTCTGCATTTTGGGACCGTGACGATGATGCGATGGATTTAGGGGTACCCTGTTATTGGACAAACCCAAATGGATTCCATGGCATTTAAAGAATCCATTCGAGGCATGGGGCCCGGGGGGCACTTTTTCGACGATTGAGGCACCAAAAAGGGATGGTTTGCCAAGCAAAGTGGGAAGTGGTTACCACGAAAATAGGATGGTTGACACTGAGCAATGCCCAGTTGATCCCTGCTGCTTGCTTAGTTGTTTGATGTTGTTTGGTTACTTGCTAACTGGATTGAGAGGGATTTTCCAGCAACCAGGATGTAAGCAACTATAGGATGTTATGCTGCGGTCAACATTGGTCCACCTGGAACGTGAAACAACAGCGAAGGTGGCTCAAACCAAGCAGTAGCAATAGGAACAACTTGATGTACTTATTGGGGCTGATGATGTGACCGGAGGGGAAAGTACCCATGTACAGCAACTCGGAGAGCTGTTAGATGAAAAGAGGCTTCATGGATTGAGAAACATCATCGAAATTGGAGAGTTTCGACATGTTTCAATTTTCAGTACCGAAATGTATGGCTGTGGGGGCGATCCCTAAACTGTTGATGTTGAAACAGGACATGGAACCACTGCAGTCCACTGGAAGACCTTTTCTTTGTGGCAAAGGATGCGCACCACCAGGCAACGTCGATAAAAATTCACGGTCAGGTGTGGGGCACCCGAGTAGTAGAGATGGTTTCCAGGTAGAGGTTAGAAAAAAGGGTTTGAATAGATGCGGTTCTCAGTAGCCTTCGCCCAGGGTAGTTATATATATATATAGACCAAGCCGTCTTTATGGGCTGTAATGACCTAGTCATATGTGGGGCACATCATTGTATATATAGCAATCTCCCGGCCACTTGCCTCACCTTCACCTAGATGATTTGCAGCTTAGGGGCTGACGTCTTGTCAAAGGATGACGTGTCTTTAACTCAACAGCAGGTGATCAGAGCTGAGCCGTAGATCAGCTTCGGGGGCGCAGGCAGCTTCAAGCCTAATGCCTAAGGAATGTACTGACAGGCTTGCTACCCTGAGAGCAACCGGTATCTGGTTTCTGGGGGGTATTTCCTCAGCAATAGATGGCAATTAGCATCTTCCTACTACAGCACTTACCTTTCCAAGAGTTTCCTGAGCAGAAGGCAATATGGATGTGGAGGCAGCAGGCACCACGCAAAGCCTTTTGTGCTTTCCAGCGCTGTGTTGCAGCAGACGTGCCGCAAGAAAAATGATTTTGCTCTTCTGCGCTTTGCAGCTGGGCACTTGGGCGTGGGTCACTATCATAAATCATAAATCATAAACCTGCAAATAAGATTGATTGATTGTGAAAATTCTCGGGTTTCCTTAGCTCAGGGCCCCACACAAAGGCCAAGCAACAACTACACTAGAACCCCAGTGCCTGTGTCACTCGGTGGCAGGTAGATTTGACCCACAGCAGCTTTTCAAACAAGGTGCCCCGGGTTCCCTAGGTGCTCTGCAGGCAACTAGGCAAGTTAGCTCAGTCTTGGCTTAGTTGGGGAAGTACAATGCAGAGGCCCAAGACTCCACTTCTTCTTGAAGTTGTGTCAAAGCCTCCTGGAAGAACACCAGGAAAGGGTGATAAATCATCCCCAGCATAGGAGTCAAAAAGCCCCCTCATCTTAATCATCTTATACCCAAAAAAAAATCCTTCTTTATAAGGAAAATGTCCAGTTAACCAGGTTCGCTGACTCCAAGTTAAGGCGGGTAAGTGGTAGTAACTGGCAGTTGAAGCCCTCGTGACCACACTAACACTAGGGATATCCACCGACAGCTGGGCTGAGGTAGGCCTAAGGATCCCCAAGGGTCTCATCCACGAGCTTCCTCCAAGATAACGCGTGGTTGTGGGCCAACGTAATAAATATAAATTAGCAAGCCATGTTAGTCTATGTTGTTCAATTCTTGGTATACTAAGGTTTGGACCTAGCCGCAAATCTATAGCCTGAAACAAGCGTTGAAGGAACTGCCAAGTGGCCCGCTCAGGTAAGTCTTGATCCTGAGTTCAGAATGGAGGCACAAAGGTGGAGAACCAAAAGGGTTGCCCAAAAAGTCTTTAAAGGAAAAGAGCACTGGTCAGCTGTTTCAAGATCACATATTGTCAACTCTTGCAAGTGTCAAGTTCAACACATGCCTCATCACGCAAATGGCTACTAAACATGAAGGCCAGTGGGCTTGAGCTTGCCAACTCTGGGCCCTGGGCTTTTATTACCCAGAAACTGGCACCAGTCGTCTGGGTGCGTCTCAAACTTGGGAAACCCAAAATCAGGATGTTCGGCCCGCTGGCGAAAATCAGGATCCACAATCTTGAACAGAAATCACTGGTAGAAATACACTCATCGTGACCAAGTTGCATGCAAAGCCGCTAAGAACTTTGCAAGCTTTTTGCCCGACCTCTTCCAAGCAGCTGAAGAAAGCCAAAATCAAAATCAACATGGACACTGGACACCGACACCGACAAAGATGCCACTGGTGGAGCCAAGCACAGAATCACAAAGGTTACCACGGTTAGTTGCCAGAACCCCCAACAGCAACACAAAAACCAACAACACATAACAACACACTGTTTGAAGCTGCCTCTTTTGGATGCCTGTGGCAATATCCCGCGCGCGGATCAGGAAAGCTCCAATCTTTTTGAAGCCCTCCTCATCCACCATGCGAGTTGTCATGGCGCAACTTCCCAGGCGCACCCCTCCAGGTGAAATCGGAGAGGCGTCTGAGGCGATGGTGTTTCTGTTCCTTGCACCAAACAATCAAATGCGTGATGCTTTGGGATGCCTTGGGATGCTTTTGGGGCCAAATTTTGGGGATGGTTGACAATTGACAATGGTTGATTCTTTTTTGGGGATGCAGGGTGCACTGGTGCTCTGCTCGCTGCTAGCTGCTATCTGAAATCCACCCTGGAAAACAGGAGGCATAAATCTTCTTAGCTACATTGTGTACCGGCATTCTATACTATCACGACATAGTTTTCTTGTATCAGTACAAGGTGGAAAGATGCGCTGTCGCATCCCAGGCACACAATGATGGAGGCCTCCTCACAAACTTTCTCCATCTTGGCACCAGACAAACCTTCGGATTTCAAATCCCAGAGCAGCAAATGGTTGTCTGTGCCTCCTGTCACGAGCTTGGCGCCATGCTCTGACAAGTAGGAGCTCAAAGCTTGGCAGTTTGCCACCACCCGTTCACAATACTCACGGAACTCGGGGCCAGCAACCTAGCAGTGAACTCGCATAGTTATCGTGTTGCAAGTTGCCCCAGCAGAGGGAAAACAACAAAAGTGAAGGGTGATCACCACAAAACAATACAAAATGATGATAAATGATGTCTTTCTTGCTCTTCACATCGAATTTCCGAAGCCCTGCCCCGAACCTCGCGAAGTTGAAAGGCCAATGCACCAATCGTAGCGTTGTGAGGGCCGCCTTGAAGTGCAGGAAACACCGCCTTGCAGCACCCGACCCCAACCTCTCCGCCCTGGTGGCTTGGTGACACCCTCACCCTGTTTATCTACCCTCAATATTTCGCTGGTTGGCTGATTTGCTCTGCAGCCCTGGTAGTCACATCCAAGCTCACCCCAACGGGGTGAGGTAAACTCAACTACAGAACAATGCCAGAACAAAAGGCATACAGCATACACACAGCACACACTTAAATTGGCTCCTATCTCACCACAACTTGAACGAAATGCCATCCAAGTGCATTGTCAATCTTCTGCTCCAGCTCCTTGCGACAAAAAATCATCCCACCGCGAGGCCCTCGCAGGGTCTTGTGAGTGGTGGTTGTGACGACATCTGCATAAGGAAAAGGCGAAGGGTGCTGTTCAGTGGCTACCAATCCGCTGATATGCGCCATATCCACCATCAAATAGGCACCAACTTCATCGCAGACCTCTCGAAAAGCTGCCCAGTCAATGTGCCGTGGATATGCCGAAGCCCCTGCAATGATCAACCGCGGCCGGAAAGCCCGTGCAGTCTCGCGCAAGGCATCATAATCAATGAGACCTGTTGTCTGATCAACACCATAAGGCAAACTCTCGAAGTAGATGGAGGTTGCCGAAACCTTGCGTGCACTTGTGTAGTGCCCATGTGTCAAATGGCCCCCTGCAAGCAGGCTCATCCCCATGATTCGGTCATGCGGTTCCAGGAGTGCAGTGTACACTGCAAAATTCGCAGGAGATCCGGAATACGGCTGAACATTCACAGACCACAACTCAGGTGACAGATTGAAAGCTTTCAAAGCTCGATCTTTGCAAAGTCTTTCCAAATCATCAATGAAAAAGTTCCCTCCATAGTACCTTGCACCTGGCAAGCCTTCAGAATACTTGTTGTTCAGCACTGAGCCTAAGATCTCAAAGACATAAGGTGAGGCGAAATTTTCGGAGGCGATGAGGTTGATACTCCCACTTTGACGTTTCCACTCCTTGATGATCAGCGTGCTGATCTCGGGATCCGCATTTTTCAGATCTGGGATGCCATTGCTGATATCCCTCACTGCCCTTCGCCGGCTCCGAACCCGGGTGCCAGACAGAAAGCTAACTCCGAGGCCAACTGCAGTCCATTTGGAGACACCTTGGCGATTCCAGATTCGTCATGACCCCCAGTTGACATGTTGATTAAGGTGTATAAAGGTTTTCGAATGTTTTCGAACACCGGGATCACATGAAAAAGGAATGAATGAAATGAAATGAATCTGATTTTGCCCAGGCATGTTGAGTCTAACAATTTTTGGACTGGAGTGGTAAACACTTTGTAGGGAGGCTTTAGGCAAGGAATACCCGTAAGGCTGACACGTGTGCATAGCTGCATCATGATAAATGAAAGACTTCTGAGGCAGGGAGCCGGACCCCTTTCTGCCGTAACCTCGATGAGTTTTTGGAACTGCAGCCCAATCATGGGCGTATCTATGGTGTACCGGGACAATCACACCAGGACCGAATGTCCATGGTTCCATGGCAGTGGGACAGTGCAAATATCCTACTTCAACCTGTTTGCTTTTTTCGTATGTTGCTATATTGCCCCTCAAAGGCATCATGATCCCAGTGTTTTTCTTCTTTGCACCGGCCCCAATATCTAGCGCTGGTGTACAAGCTTTAAGGCAAATCAATTGTCGAGGCGTTGGCATCTTGTCAAGCACAGTGGTGCTGCGCCAGATTCATGTACTGTGGGTTCCCTGATTCATTGAGCCAAATCAATCTGTCGACATGAATCGCACCCCCACCGTTCTGCAACCGCGGTCGTTTTGCGATTTGGTGGCGTACCTGGCGCAAAAAAAAAAATCCAGGTTTGAACAGCTGCGCATTCTGAGCATCTCACATGCGAAGTCACCTCAACAGGCTGTTCCAGCGACATGCAGCTGGTTACGGCTGGCATGATTTTGTCTCCCCTGAACTTGAACAAAAATCGTCAAATAAGAACAAACTCCGGAACAAAGCTTTGGTGCAAAGGTTGCATCAAAGAATCTGGCCTGCAAAACCACCATCATGTTGCCACGGCCCAGCCACCTGTAGGTATGTGTATATATAATATATGGCCCACCTTGGCCCACATTGCAAAAACACAAGACATTTGTGCGTATTTTTCGGCCTGCTTCTCCATGATAAAGGTGCGCCATGGCGAACACATCACAAATTGTGAAGCGTTGACTGATGATTTGGGTGTGACATGATTTACGTCTTGAGTTTGAGTGTGCAGTGTGCAGGAAAAAACACAGGTGGTTCATAAGTCATGGTCATAGTAATCGCATGCACCTTCAAAAAAGTAGACATTCCACTTCTATATACATATATGAAATATCAATACATATCATCCAAACCATCACATCACATAAGTGTCAAACGCATGCATCAACACAACAACTCAAATAGGGTCAAAACAAGCAGGGTGAAGCAGGATGAAGCAGGAGGGCGTGTGTCCGGACCCGTGTCTGAAACTAAGATCCGGCTTTAACCATCAGGAATCAGGACTGGTATTTTGGATTGTTTAACAATCCTGAAGTGGCAATGTGTATATATATATATGCGTGTGTGTGTGTGTAACATCTAAATAGACGTAAAACTTCTCTTTTTTTCTTCCTTCTGTCCTCTCCCTTTTTAAATCTAGTGAAAGGGTTTTTAATCTAGTGCAGGGGGATGAGGGTCCCTTGGTGTGCCTCATCTAACAAAGACCGCACCAAGTGGACGTGATATCAGTGCCCGGCCAGCACTGACGTACCTGCACGTGTATATATTTTTACGCTGTTGGTTTATATGTCAATGACTCCTGTGATTTTTACTGACGTGCTCCTTATACTCTTACTGCTGTTGGTTTATATGTCAATGACTCCTGTGATTTATATGGACGTGGCAAGGGGCTAAGCCAAAAACCCCAATAAACAAACAATCTAATAAATTTGTTTCCTGTCTAATTTGCATGTTACAGGATTCAGTTCCTGCCGGATCATATAATGATCCATTCTTGTCTAGTGTGATTCCTATGGTGACTCCGACATGGTGCCATAGGGCCAATTGAGGCAACCCCAGTTGGGGTCAATGTCGACTGACCTGATTTCTGAATTTACACTTTTGAATTAGTAATTCGTTTAGGTAAAGTGCAACAGATGGCCTTACTGTTCTGCACCTTTTGCGAAGTCCCGCTGATCCGGCTGTCCCTTGAAATCCTTTGGACAAGCTTCTCTACTGCGTGATGCCGTTCGGAACACTCAGAAACCTTCTTTTTTTCGCAGCTGCTTTTGACGATTCATGACAACAGCATTTGATACAGGAATCAGGCAGGCACGCGACTTTCAGGTGTGGTCTTTTTTCTTTTGATGGTTGTCTGGTGAGGTGAAACATATTGTGCACCTAATTCGTTGGAACTTGAAAGCCGTTTTATGCCCTTGTGGCTGACTTGAACACGGGCCTGGAGTGGCACAACGCACGAATTCTAGGTTTAGGAGCTGAATCCTGTTGTTTTACTAATTGTTTTGGTTTTCCTGTCTGTCATCAACTAGTCCCCCATTTGGTCCCTAATTTCCCTGCGTGCCTCTCCGTAATGTGTCGTGGGGTTTAGGTGTGTGCGCTGTTTTGGTTAGGTCCGTTTCGCCGTGTAGGTTGGTTCCGGAGGTCCGTCTGTTCCCCTCCCCCCCCTGCGCTGTTTTTGGCCGTTTGCCCTTCGTGTGTCCGCTTTTTCTTCCTCTTGCCTTTCAGGGTTGACCCGGCTCTGGCCGGGTGTGTGTGTGTGTAACATCTAAATAGATGTAAAACTTCTCTTTTTTTCTTCCTTCTGTCCTCTCCCTTTTTAAATCTAGTGAAAGGGTTTTTAATCTAGTGCAGGGGGATGAGGGTCCCTTGGTGTGCCTCATCTAACAAAGACCGCACCAAGTGGACGTGATATCAGTGCCCGGCCAGCACTGACGTACCTGCACGTGTATATATTTTTTACGCTGTTGGTTTATATGTCAATGACTCCTGTGATTTTTACTGACGTGCTCCTTATACTCTTACTGCTGTTGGTTTATATGTCAATGACTCCTGTGATTTATATGGACGTGGCAAGGGGCTAAGCCAAGAACCCCAATAAACAAACAATCTAATAAATTTGTTTCCTGTCTAATTTGCATGTTACAGGATTCAGTTCCTGCCGGATCATATAATGATCCATTCTTGTCTAGTGTGTGTGCTTGCACGTGTAAGTAAACACAACACATACATATATAATTCACACACATATATATTATATATAGTATACATATATAAATAACTAACTAACTAACTAACTAACTGACTAACTAACTAACTAACTGACTAACTAACTAACTAACTGACTAACTAACTGACTAACTAACTGACTAACTAACTAACTGACTAACTAACTGACTAACTAACTAACTAACTGACTAACTAACTAACTGACTAACTAACTAACTGACTGACTGACTAACTAACTAACTAATTAACTAACTAACTGACTAACTGACTGACTAACTAACTAACTGACTAACTAACTAACTAACTGACTAACTAACTGACTAACTAACTGACTAACTAACTAACTAACTGACTGACTAACTAACTAACTAATTAACTAACTAACTGACTAACTGACTGACTGACTGACTAACTAACTAATTAACTAATTAACTTGCATCAAATCGAATGAGATCAGGGCACCCTCCAACTCGCCACAGTTCTTTGCCCCTGAAGCCAGAGATGAAGTTTTCGAATGGGAACTTCAGGGACTAATGCCGACGCCTACGGCATGGTGAAAAGGCACCTTCATGGTGAAAAATCCCAAAACAGCACCTGGAGTCCTGGAGGTTTCACATGCGAATACGTGCAAATGCACATGAATCGTCAAAAAAAAAATGCCAAGAACAAACAAACTGCCCTCGGGAAAAAAAGAACACCAAACATCATCAAACCGCAACATGTGGAGAATCACTGGCAACATTGATCCCGATCAAGCTGGATTCTTTTTACCGGGTGCAAATTTAGAAAGCTCCAAATGTCCCACAGGCCGCCGAATGTGGGAATGCCACGTGTGCTGCAAGTGGCACTGAGTGGTGCTCCAGGCTGCCGAGGCTGCCGTGTCAGAGGTCGAGCTACATCAACCAACTTCCAACTTTGCATTGAACTTCCACTTGCACACGTTTCACACATTTCAGGTGTTCCAACTGAACTTCAACTTGTGTGTTGTTTTCTAATATCTTTTGACCATGTGAGATTTGTCAACAGGTCACAGGGAGGCATCGCATGCTAGGCTCGGAAGATATGGCTCTGGCAAGATTCTGCGGTGAAACGAACCCAAGCTGCGAATGAAGACCAAGAATGCAATGAATGAATCTGATAGGGCAGCCTGGTGCAACAGGAACGGGGAAGTTTTACTTCTTACAGCAATTCAGCACATTTATTTAAATAACATGTTCACATTTCAATTTTCATTACATTAATCTGCCCGAAGTGTGATGCACCACATCGTTCTAGTGGCATCAAAGCGGTGCATCAACGACTTCGCTTCACCAGAAGGCACAGAAAAAGGCACTCGAATGGTACTTGACGCCCTTGGTGCAAGAAAATCATAGAAAAGCAAAGAACATCTCAAGGCGAGCAACTCAGGTTGGATCTGCATCCAACTGCACGTCCCTGCTTTAAGGCTAAGCTTTCCCGCAAAGAAACTGGACGTGAAAGCAATGTCAGAATGCCATTGCATCATCTCAGTGATTCATCGAGTCATCGCCCCAACTTTCCGCAATTTCCTTTGGGTGGTGAGCCAACGCATGCGACAACACCTCGGGCGAAGCTGTTCAAGGCACAGCCCGAACACCTGGGCACCTGCAGCTCGTTAAGGGTGTGAAGGAGCAGCGAAGCGGATCTTTGCATCCACCGCTAGTTGCATGTGGTATGGCGTTGCCTAGGAAATGAATGAAATGAATGAAATGAATGAGGTGTCTCCGTTTACTTCCAGGAATCTAATCTTTGGACCCTGGCCTCTATTGGAAGGACAGCTTGCAGCATGTTTGCGACCTTTCAGGCCGTGCTGCTGGCTTTCGGGATGTCATGTCATGGGAATGCTTCACGGAAAGCATATGTGGCCAACCCTTGGCAGGCGAGCGCAACAAAACGGCAGTACGTTTAAGCAAAAGAAAAACTTTGTTCAAATGTTCAAAGGGTTCCAGAGTCATGTGCGGTCGCTTTGTGCGCCATGGGCTGTCTATCGACTTGCAATGATGTTGAAACAGCCACAGGATCCTCGTCTTTTTTGGATTGGAAACAGGCTCCCATCTCCAAGCATGATGGACATAGTGGACACTTGCAAGAGCAGCATCTGAAATCAAACACTGCTCCAGGCTGTGGCAGGTCGAATTCAGGTCGAACCTTTGGAAAACACAGGGCTTGGGACAGTGAAGTCCTAGCTCTGTTTTCAATTGTATAGCTGAGTTTGCCCGCCCCTCAGATGCCGTCTTGAGGAGCTGTGGTCTGTCTGAGAAAC